GCATCAAGCTGCTCTAAAATGAGTTCAGCCTCCAAATTCCCCTCAAATATCTCTTTTCAAAGTTGAAGAGTCCTAACTTGTCTAATTGCTACTCAAAATGCCCATTCCTCCAACACTACATCATCCTCACTATTCTCTGAAGCTACCTTATGTTGCGATGATCAGAAACTACACAGGATACCTGGAGTGGCCTGAATAAAACAGGGAACAGCATGGCTTCTGAGGATCTAAATCCCAGCATCCATAGGAATTTACAACACGAAAAGGCCATTTGGCCTGTTTTGTCTGCTGGCCTTTGTAAAGAGCAATCTTTTTCGTCCCATTTGCCTGAATTTTTGCTGCATACCTCTGAAGTTGACACATTCTTAGGTATTTATCTAGTTCCCTTTTGGAAGCTAATATGGATTCTGACTCAAGCACCACTTCTTAACAGGACATTCTTAACCCAACAACTTGTGTGTTGAAAAATGTTCCCCTAATCTCCTGGTTTGCTTGCTATCTGAAACTAATGCCTTTTGCTCAATCATTCACCGACCAGTGAAACTAATTGCTCCCTATTGACTCTATCAAAAACCCTTTATGATTTTAAGCATAATTCTATTGACATGGTAAAACAGTTGATATGATTTTGGCTACAATGCTTACTAACATTACTAGCTGTTTTCACTTTCTAAGATGACTCCAATGCTGGGGGTGCATTGCATTGTTAGATGTGCCGTCCTTCAGATGAGATGTTAAACCAAGGTCCTGATTGTAGCCATTTAGATGGATATTAAAGATCTTATAGCTCTACTTGAAAAGAGAAGGAAGTTTCTCTCTCCCCATGTCCTGGCTGACAATCCCCCACATAAAATTGGTGATTCAATTTATGGATGTTTGTGGGATGTTGCTGTGCTCCATGGGCTGCCACGTTCGCCTGCAGTTACTACATTTTACAATAAATCCTGTTCTTTGGGACCTCGTCCTGACGTGAAGGGCTGAATACCAAATGTAATGATTATTGTACTATAATAAGGGATATTGGAATGATTGTCCCAATCTTTCCTATGCTGATGTTGGCGCTTTTGTAACCTGACTTGTCTTTCCCAGGTTTAAATATAACCACAATTTTTCTGAGTCAGACAAGTGTCTTACTGAATTGGACTTGCTGTTTGACAATACCATCTAGCCTCTGGGAGGTACAGTATCAGAATGTAAGGAGCAAACGCAGTACCATTCTCAACACCACCAACACTTCACTGCTGCTCAGTGACTTTGAACCAGGGAATGAATACAAAGTCACTCTAACATCATTACTGAATGGATTCAAAGGACCCTCACAATCTATACTGGTTGAAGCTCCAAACGGTAAGTATGTTTGGTGTGTATTATTTATTCTGCATTTGTTTGCTACTTTATTGACCTATCTTTTTTTAAAATAGAGGGAAACTAAATATGGGTGTAGGGCAGGGAGGGATCAAATGAACACCTTTCTCTGAGAGAAAGTGCAGATTGAATGCTCCTCCTGTGCTGTAAATTTCTACGAATCAATGATCGGATGCAGTTTTTGATTCCTTCTGAGATTTATGGTGTAGAGTTATTGAATTACTGGACACAGTTGTAAGCCAGGTCCCATGTAACAAAAAAGCCTTGTGTCAGCCTGGCTCAATTGGTAGCACTTTCGCCTCTGAGTCAGAAGGTTGTGCGTTCAAGTCCATTTTGGGACTTTGAACTCTTATACTCCAGGGCATTGCTAGGGCTACGTAGCATTGCTGGACATGCAATCCTTCAGATAACAGTCCCCAGTTAAAATTGTTAATTCACCGTGGTTATTTGTGGAACATGTGTGGAGTCCTGTAGCTCAGTGGTTAGAGCACTCGCCTTACAAGTGAGACACCTGGGTTCAATTCCAGGCAGGACGAAACCTGGGCAAGTTTCCTTACTCCACATGCCTAATAATAATAATCCCTCCAAAACAAAAACAATAATAAATTGGTCATTTTCAATCCACAACTGTTTGTGGGACACTGCTGTGCGCAATTGGCTGCCGTGTTTCGCCCCCAAATATATGGTTAATTCACTTTACAGCATATTCTGTGAAGCGCTTTGAGAAGTCTAGAAGACGTGAAAAGCGCTATATCAAATGCAAGGATTATTATTATTATTATAACATTGCTGTGTGCAAATAAGCTGCTGCTGTGAATTGACAAATACACAGTCAACCATCTTACAGTTGCATAACAAGTGACAACCAGTTACAATTATATCCATTGATACAACAGCTCCTGTTGACCCGAGTGGAGCACCATCAGCGCCCCAGGATGTGAGAGCTGGAGAGATTGAAGCAGGCTCTGTGCTTGTCAGCTGGACGCCACCTGCTGCATCCACCCAAAATATCATCAAGTACAACGTAGGCAGCTCTGATTACCGGTCAAGGCGATTCATATCAAAGAGCTTTAGTACTGTTTAGTTCACATTTAGATGTAATGTAATTGCTTTGAGATTGCTAGTAGCAGGTTTCAGTCGAGGTGCCTTACCTTCTTGCTTGAGTCCCTGAACCTTTGGTGGGAGTTCTGCTTCATCGATCATGGCAAAAGAGGTCTCCTCTCTCCTGTATGTCCAGGCCTTTATACCCTAGTTCTTTCATTCAACTCAGGATATGTGACAATGCAACGTTTCCACACTTCCTTAATCTCAACAATTGAGCCCTATTTTACATCCCATATTGACATTCTTCCCAACGTGAACGCTCTACTTGACTAGCTCTTTAAAGAAATGATCTTCCCTGCAACATGTATGATGTGAACATAAATCAATCATTTTAAGCACATTTTAATTCTTTATCACATATTTCACCTTTAACCTATCCTGGTCAGAAATAACAAAGCACCTGGCCTTACAAGCTCATGCGTTTACAGTTCATACAATTTGCACAAAACATGTACTGTTTTATTTTGAACACCATCAGCTTTATTTTGCGGCAAAAAAACAGACTATAAGGTGTCATGTTAATATCAGACTATATATAGAGGTGTCATGTTAATATCAGACTATATGGAGGTGCTCACTGCTAATATCAGACGATATAGAGGTGCTCACTGCTAATATCAGATGATATACAGGTGCTCACTGGTAATGGACTACAAAGAGATATTGTTAATATCGGACTCCACAGAGGTACTTAGAAGTAATGTCAGACTCTATAGAGTGTTACTGACTTGGTTTAACAGTCTCATCCAAAGGACAGTGCACCCCAGTACTGCACTGGAGTGTCATCTTAGCCATGTGAATTCCAAGTCCACGGTGCTTTTTAGCAAAAAAAAAGGAAGCCTTCATCTTCTCCTTTTCATAGTTTTGGGGTGTTTTGGAATGGTGAGCATTGATTTCTACTGCTTGAACAGCAAGTGGCGAGAAGACTTCCATGGTTTTATTTTCTTTCAGATTTACATTAAATCCAATGATTCCACATCAGCTGGAAATCACACAACCAACACAAACTATCTCTATTTGCAAGATCTGAAGCTCAGCCAAGTCTATGGCATCAAGGTGACTGCAGTAAACAGTCTGGGTGAAGGATTACCCAGCCAGACAGTGTCTTTCAGACTACTAGATCCACAAGGACGTGAAACAGGTGGGATTTGTTTCACCTATATCTGCATCAACCTATTCAAACCACTTGTACCTCCAGGACCTGCCTTGAACAGGAACCAGAATCAAGACAACAGTGGGTTCAGCCCAAATTTCTCATCACAAATTTGAGTCTTGGGCTTCAGTTTAATTGTGAAAATTGAATTGTGTTGTGTACAATAATTTACGGGTGACAGAGACACAAGCTTGGCTAATGGTATTAATTTCCTTCTGGGCTTTCAGAAGGGAAGACCAAGCCGAAGTTGCTAGTGAACGAGTCCCTTTCCATCAGGACATCGAGCATAATGCTGAAAGTGCCAGACTGCGGGCTGTTTGATAAGGCTGCAAAACAACTGGATAATTCCAACGGCAGCCTCTCCATCCTTGTTATCGTCACAAAGAATAGAGGTATCATTATTATACACACACTAAATATGTCTTCATTGTTGATATATCCTCACTTGTGAGAGACTGGTATTTGCTTTACAGTGTCCTGAAAACAGAGGATGGTCAGACGTCACTTAATCCTTGGGATACAGTGATGGATGAATTGATTGGCTTGGCTTGTTTGAACTTTACTGGAATTCAAAACAAGCTATGTCACAGTGAACTTCACTGTTGCAAGCTCAAAGCAACAGCCTATGACCGTTAATATAACATTCATTAATAATAGGCTTGTTTGTAACACAGTTCACTGGCAGCTGGGTTCTCTCTCAGCTCCTGGAAGTCAAAGCCCTAATAAGTAGGGTGATCCTAGTTAAACAAGCAGCTGGAAGCTTGCCAGACAGTATTTCTAAGGGCAAGCTGTTAACTGGTTAGGTAAAGGAATTGAATTTATGTGGGGATAGGGCAAGGGCAGTGTCATGTTAATATCAGACTATATAGAAGTGCCCACTGCTAATATCAGATGATATGCAAGTGCTCACTGGTAATACACTACAAAGAGGTATTGTTAATATTGGGCTATACAGAGGTACTGTGGTTTGCCCTGAGAGCCACTGCAGACTCAATAACTGAATGGTCTCCCTCTGTGCTGTAATTTCTATGATTCTGTGAAGAGCTCCACAGTTGTTTGTCTCTCTGACCTCTCTGTTTGTCACAATTGAGAGAATGCTCCCAGCAGAAGCTTTTCATTCAGAACCCGCCAAGGACGGGGAACTCTAATTCATCGCTGTTTATGGCACAGCAAAGTGATACATTTTATCTGGGGGATTGTCGGACAGGTCACTGAGAGAGAGAAACTCCCTTCTCTTTTGTGAATTAGTGGATGCGATCTTTAACATTCACTCAAGCCATTACCTGTGAAGTGTTTTTGAGACATGTTTATATTCTAGACGCAGCATAAAGTGATTATAACTATTCTGTCCATTTGCAGCTACCACTGACAACTTCACTCTTGCTTCTCTGGACAAAAAAAATAACTTGGGAATGCATGGCCCATATATTGCACAGAAACACCTCTCTGTATACGATTGCGATGATGGAAAGATGTGGGAACCTTTGAATTACTATGCCATTGGTTCTGCAGACAGATGTTATGCTTGGAATATATGTGACCATCGACTCAGCTCAAACACAGGATACCGGTGAGTGTTAGCACTCTGCAATAAGCCATCTTTCTGTGTGGGACAGACTCACACAAAGGCACAAGATTGATTTGATGAAGAAGGCAATATCATCCCTTCAGACCACCCACCTTTCTTTATCCTCCCATCACAGCATCAAGCTGTTTTTTTAAATAAATCTAGTATCCTGGCCTCAACCACCTTTCCTGGCAACCTGTTCCAGTCAATAGTTCTGGGTAAAGAAAAACTTCCTGGGTTGTGCTGAAACTGCTCTTACCAACTCTAAACCTGCATCTTCTTATTCTGTTTTGTGTTTGTGGGACAGTTTTGTGTGCAACTGGCCCACAAAATACACAGTCACTGGACTTTACAGTTTATCCTGTGAAGCGCTTTGAGACATCTCAATGTGATGAGGTACGATAGATAGTACCTTATCAAATGCAAGGATTATTTTTATTATTAGAGTCATAGCTTGTTATAACTCATTACACATAATATGTATAAACTCTAAAACGTATGGGAATGCATGCCCATATATTGCTATATAAGCGAAGAGGGGGAAAGGAGAGGGGAATAGAAGAGGTGGGGACTCATATGGAGCATAAACATCAGCACAGACGAGTTGGGTTGTAATGTTCTGCCCTCATGTGAGATTACTCTGTGGGACAATGTAATATTTTTATAATGGCTTGGAGAAGCAAGACATGAGTTCATGACTTAATTACCATTGTCTAAAATATACAGATGTAAAGTTGCACAAGTATGAAAATGCTGCAGATACCCAGATGTCCTGATGTTTTCCAGCTGCACTCTGCTCACACCCTGTCATCAGGCCAGAGTCCTGCCACTGCGGTCTCAGGGTGTTTGAGATCACAGAGAGAGAGAGAGAGAGAGAGAGCACTGACTTGCACCTTTCCTTCTGCAGAGTCAGATACTTCCTGGTGGACCACAATCGAGTGGAGATAATGAGCACTAACTGGTCTGATGAATTCAGGACTAAATCAGGTGGGTTAATACATTAACAGCACAGAAACAGGCCATTTGGCCCAACTGGCCTGTGCCGGTGTTTATGTTCCACATGAGCCTCTTCCTGCCCTTCCTCAACTAAGCCTTCAAGCATAACCTTCTATTCCTTTCTCCCTCATGTACCTGTCTAGCTTCCCCTTAAATACATCTTAAATATATCTATCAATATAACCTATTGGTTAGAGCACTCGCCTCAAAAACAAGAGGATCTGGGCTCAATTTCCTGGGTAGGGAGAAATTTTAGCTTTACTGGAGGTGATAATCCATTAAAAATAAATAAGTAAATAAATACAAATAATAATTTGGTCACTCAATCCACGATTGTTTGTGGGACACTGCTAGGAGCAATTGGCTGCCGTGTTTCGCCCACATAATATACAGTATATTTTGTGACACGCTTTTAGACATCTCGAAAACATGATAAGGCGCTATATCAAATTCAAGAATTATTATTATTGATAATTATTATTAATAATAATGCCCCAAATGAAATTGATCATTCACTTTATGGCTGTTTGTAGGACATTGCTGTCAATAAATTGACTGATGCATTTGCATTCAAAATCACTACACCACTTTACAATAGATCATCATGAAGCGTTTTGAGATGTCATTGAGATGTCTAGCTCATCAACAGGATGTGGAGGCACATATTAGTGTCACCAGGGGCTAGGATTCTGGGATTCCTGACCAGTTCTTGTTAACCCTGGATCCAAGGAAAAAATTGGCCTTATGAAACTAGATAGAGGGAAATTTCCAACATTAAGGAATTCTCAGTAGTTTGATTTGGAGACGAGTGATGGGTTTGTGTGCGTTTCTGACTGACTTGTCCTTCCCCTACCAGCTCATCCATACCAGTCCATACACGTGGATGGTTGGCGCCGCTCAGCTGCTATGATCATCATCACAGTGCTCTGTATGTGCCTCCTTTGCCTCTTGCTCCTAGCTCTTCTGCTCATGTGCTGCTACAAGAGGAAGAGGTAAGAAAACAAAGTAGTTGCAAATATCTGATCTTCAGAACATCTCAAGTCCAGCTCTGTAGCCAGGCACCATGTTCCCAGCTAAGGAATCACATAAAGAAAAGCTGAAGCTATGGGGTGGGGGGTTTGGTGGGGTTTGTGTTAAATCCCAGCCTTTCACTCTTGTTCTCTCTGTCTCATTTTTTCTCTTCTCTCTTTCACTCTCACTCTGTCTCGTCCGTCGCAGGACTGGAATCATGATCAACAATTGGACCGGCTACAATACTCATTTCACAAAAGGGATGCACATACGTGAGAGAAGATTGGAAATGCAGCGGGGAGTCGAGCCAGACCACACTCCATTCTTCCTCCACCCCCAGGACCACTGCTTCAATGCTAATTACTTGTCAAAATCCTGGAAGCTCCCACCATACAACAGGTACCTGAGGAGAGATTCGTGAATGTCCAGCCATACAGCAAAATAACCATCACAGTAATTGTTTTTTAAAAGATTTAATAAAACTGTCTATTGCTAACAATAAGATTAAATGCAAAACAGCAACTGACAGGATCTACTCCATCTCCTACCAGCACTTCGGAGCAGGCAACGCTGTGTGAAAGCCTGGCTCAATGGGTAACACGCTCATCTCTGAGTCGGGGTGGTTGTGGGTTCAAGCTTTGAGCTTCTACAGTATATAGTCTTGCACTCTAGTGCAGTGCTACAGGGTGTGCTGTGTTGCCATAGGTGCCATCCGTTGGATGAGAAGTTAAACTGAGATCCAATTTTCAGGTGGATATTATTTGGGTGGCACCGTTCGAAAAGAGAAGAGAGTTTCTTTCTTCCAGTGTCAGCCGAAAATCCCCCAAATAAAACTGGTGATTCAGTTCACAGCTGTTTGTAGCGAGATTGAATTGATTTTTTGCTTTGTGAGCCCGTGCGCTCCCAATGGGCCAAACAGCCTTCAACCGCGCTGAAGATTTAATTGTTTCGATGTTTCCTTTTCTCTTCTCTGCAGTGCTGATGGGGGGAAGAGTCAGAGTCTCAGCAAATTGATGATCGATGATCTGTTGCACGCCAGTGACTCTTGGAGCTCTCGGAACTCAGACAAATTACAGACAAGGTACAAAAGTCAGGAAGCAGCTTGGGATTGAAAGACTAGAGGGTTTATGATCCCTTTGTTACAACCCTAGCTTGAAAACTGATTGGGATTTAGCAGCAGTGAGGAGGCACATCACTTACCAGTGATCATTGGGGTGTAGGGGGTGTAGGGAGGGAAAGAGCGTTACTCCCCGGTTTTCTAGCTGGGCTCTGTGACCTGCAGAAACCAACAACTTGTATTTATATAGCGCCTTTCATGTAGGGTAAAGTTTCACTTTACAGGGACATGGTTGTATTCCGAGCAATGGAGGGATGGGGCTATATTCATATTGGAAGAGATAGGATTTGAGGCAGGACTGAGACAGAAAGAGAAAAGGCCCTGTAGCTCAGTGGTCAGAGTATTCCCCTAAGAGGGGGTTTGATTCCTGGTAGGGCAAAACATTGGACAAGTTTCCTTACTCCACAGGCTTTTGTTTACCTAGCAGTAAGTACCAACCCGGTTGTTAGTCGATTGTCGGATCGCTTTTCAAGCGGTAATAATTTCTTCAAAAAAATGAAATAAATGATAAATTGGTCATTCAATCCACGACTGTTTGTGGGACACTGCTGTTCGCAATTGACTGCCGTGTTTTACCCACAAAACAATTCACCCACAAAAGTCAATTCACTTTACAGTATATTCTGTTAAGCGCCTTGAGACATCTAGAAGATGTGATAAGGTGCTGTATCAATTGCAAAGATTATTTGTTTATTATAAAAGTGAGGTGGAAGGGTAGAGGGAGAAACTTCCAGAGATCTGGGTGGAGGAACTGAAGGCTTGGTCACTGATGTGGGATGTAATGCGGGACACACAGCAAGCCTGAGTTAGCTTAGTAGAATGGGATGAGTGGAGGAGCGGGTTATAGGAGAAGGTTGGAGAGATAGAGAGGTGACATGAATTTGCAAGTGAAGATGAACACCTTGAAATCAATCCATCGGGATGCAGTGGAGGGTGGCAAGGACTGTGGAGCTGGGTGTGAGGAGTTTAAAACCCAAAGAATCGTCATTCTTGAGTCAGAGGGACTCTGGGATGAAGTTCCAGAGAGCGGGGGAAGAATGGCTGGAAGCCTGCCTGCCGAAGATGAGATGCACAGGACAGGAAACATGAAGCAGGTTGAAGCTCGCTGAGCAGAGGAAGTGGCGGGATGATCAAGTTTAAGGAGGAAGCAGAAATAGAGTGCGGTGAAACTGTGGAGGGTTTTGAACATTCCTTGATGCATTGGGATCCCTGAGGCACACAGATACACACACACAATTCACACAGTGTGGGTTTATTATCACAGAGGGCAAACCTCCTCAATAACAACAACAACAACAACAAGATTGCATTTATAGAGCGCCTTTCACGTCGGGAGGATGTCCCGAAGTGCTGGACAGTTAGGTCGGGACCCGAGCAGGGGGGAAATGGTTAGGGTGAGGGTAGGGAAGGGAGAGTGAGGAGGGGGTAGAGAGGGGAGGTGAAGGCACAGTTGAAGAGAAAGGTCTTGAGACCGGCCTTGAAGGAGGAAAGGGAGGAAGCAAGGCGAAGGCACTGGGGTATGGAGTTCCAGAGCCTAGGGGCTGAGAGTCTGAAAGCCCGGCCACCGATGTTAGGGCAGGAGATGTGGAGCAGACCGGAGCCAGAGGAACGGAGGGTACGGGCAGGTAAGTAGGGGGATAGTAGGTCGGAGAGGTAGGAGGGAGCAAGGCCTTGAATGGCCTTGTAGGTGAGGATGAGGATCTTAAATTCGATCCTCTGGGGTATGGGGAGCCAGTGGAGGCGAGCGAGGGTGGGAGTGATGTGGTCGCGAAGCCTGGTGCGGGACAGTACACGAGCTGCAGAGCTCTGAATGACCAGCAGCTTGTGGATCGAGGTGCCGGGAAGGCCGGCGAGGAGAGAGTTCCCATAGTCCAGCCTTGAGGTGATAGAGTTTCAGCAGCGTGAGGGGTGAGGTAGTGCCGTAGTCTGGCGATGTTCCGGAGGTGATGGAAGGTGGTGCAAGTTGTGGCGCGGATGTGGGGAAGAAAGGACAACTCAGGGTCGAACAGAACCCCGAGGTTCCTGATTGGCTTTGATAGGTGGAGAGTGCAGCCTTGGATGCTGATGCTGTCATCATCCTCAATGATGATGTGCCACACTCCCCCTCCCTACAAATCCCAGATGCTGAATGCACCTGGGGTTGTTAAAAGAAACAGAGGGGAGATGAGGAGAAATTTTTTCACACAGCAATTTTTTCGAATCTGGAATGCATTACCTGAAATGGTGGTGGAAGTCAATTCGATAACAACTTTTAAGAGAGGAGTCCTCCCCAAATAGATAATTATTTGGGGAGGACAAGTTTGCAGGGCTATGGGGAGAGACCTGGGGAGTGGGATTGATTTGGATAGCTCTTTTTACAGAGCTGTCATAGACATGGTGGGCCGAATGGCCTCCTTTTGTGCTGTATACTTCCATGATTCTTAGGACATGCTGAGAGAAATGTTCTTTGAAACAAAAACAATGTATTTCAAAAGATAAATGGGTGGTATGACTTTCCCAGCCTCAGAGTGTATATAGTCCTCGTCATGCGATTTGTATACCCAACACAGAGATTTGATTGAATGCTTTCTGTCTATTTTCTTCCAGCACAACCTCAGGCTCAGTGCAGACCAGATTGGCACACAATGATTTGGGGAAGGCTAGCTTGCTACAGATATGGGCACAGAATGACTTGGGTCAGGCTGGTTTGGACCAGACCAGATTGGCACACACTGACTTGGATCAGGTCAAATTGGCACAGAATGACTTTGCACAGGCTGGCTTGATACAGACCACATTCACACAGAATGGCTTGGGGCAGACCGGCTTGGCACAGAATGACTTGGCACTAACTGGCATAGAAAAGTCCAGATCAGCACAAAGTGGCTTAGTAGAGACCACATCGACACAGAATGTCTTGGGGCAGACTGGCTTGGCACATAATGACTTGATACTGACTAAATCAGCACAGAATGACTTTGTTCAGGCCAAATTGGCAGGGAATAACTTTGCTCACACTGGCTTGGTACAGACCACATTGGTTCAGAATAGCTTGACACAGGATAGCTTGGCACAGACCACCTCATCACAGAACACATTGGAACAGAATGGCTTGTCACAGATTGACCGTGTGGAGGTCAGTGCTGGTGTGGTGCAAGCTGACCACAGGTACGTATGGAACTAGTTTGACATATTTGGGAATGGAATGTCTGTGACAGTCTCTAATCCCTGAGCCAGGCAAGTCTGCAGCACTCCAGAGCACAACCTGCCTGGCTCACTGACAAAACTTGGAGGGGCAGACCAGTCACTGGGAGTTGGAGTTCTTCCCACTCAGTTAAGCCAAAGCCCAAACAGAAAGGGTGGTTCTAGCTAGACAAGCAGCGGGCTAGCTTGCCAAACGGTGCCCTCAATGGAAAGCTATTTGGTTTTAGCTGGGTAAACTCCAGCAGTTACTTCTACACATATTGTAGTGTCCCCAATCTCCAACTCTTACCAACCTGTACCCAATATACACCAAAATCAGGTGTACAGGGTGTTTCCAAAAAGGGAAAGCACATTCCAGAATTTCCACGTGCAGGTGGCATACATGGAACCAATGCTCTAAAGCATGTTGAAGGGTTTCTGTGTGTGTCAGACTCCTGGCTGACCATGAAGAAAAACATGTGTGCTCTGTTTACCCCCCGCTTGTGGAGTGGTTGTGTGTATTTGTGTTAAGGAATATCCTATTTTCAAACTCTTCACCCAGTTTCAAATGTTCATCTTTTTTATTCCCATGCAGTACTCAACTCCAGGAAAAAAGGTAAGAAGTAATGGCTTTGTTTGCTCCTTCCCTGTTCAGTTACATTCCACCTCTCTCTCCACGATTAATACTTCTCCCCAACCAGCTGCTCTCCCCCAGTCCAGTGCTCTTTGGCCGTGTGTTTGCCTGACACATATGCTCTCACACACACTCTTGCTATCTCTCCCTCACACACTCTCACACTCTCTCGCACTAGCACTCTCTCTCTCTCTTGCTCTTGCTCTATCTCATTCTCTTGGGGGGAGAAGATGTGAATCCCAGTGAGTGAAATGTTGAATGTTTTGTTTTTCAGATTCAGTGACACTTCTAGCTTGGTTCAGTCCATCAGGTGAGCACAATGCTTCCTGTCCCTTTTTCTTACTTAGATTTTGCCCTTCCAATCTCTAATCACGATGTTGCCACCCAGTGCAGGCCCACAGCCCTCACTTCCACACTTAAGAGCCAAGTCTCTTCTGGACCATAAGGTTAGGGTCTAGGCAGCAGCACCTACCTGTGCTGCATTCCAGGGCTTGGGCATCCCATTTGTGTCAGGCAAACACACAGACAAAGAGCACTAGAATGGCAGCACAGTCTCCGCACCCTCTTTCCAGTACAATGCAAACCTAGGTTCCTTCGACTGTGTTCAGTCTCTGTTACAGAGTGTTTACAGTGTGTTGAAACAGGATCATGTTCAGGAAACAAAAATTTGCTGGATTCCCATAAGCAAATAAAAATATGTTATCCTGGCATTTGATTGCGACAGTCTCAAAGCATTTAACACAGAATCTTTGTCAAGGTGAGTGATTGGACAGCGACTGCAAAGGTAATTTATACACAGTAATGTCGCACAAACCACCCTGACCTATTTTGCCTGGAAGATTGTTGGCCAGGAAACTGGGAGACAGAAACTCCTTTCTCTTTTTGAATATTAACTTGGAATCTTTAACATCCTCCTGTACAGGAACAAACCACAACTTTAATGACTCATTCCTCATCTCCTCAAGGGTTATCAAGGGGAGGGGTTGGTATTAGTTCACAGCATCTACCAGATCTGATGTCACCTCTCAGTTTTACAGTGGCATATCCTTCCCATAACCTGGGCAGTCACTTTTCCTTAAACCAACAAATACATTGGGCTTGTAAAGAGCTTAAAGAGGAGGAAAAGAATTAAGCCGCTGAAGCAACATGGCCCCCGTATTCGGGAGTAAATAAGAAACAATAGTTTCAGATTTCACCAGCACAACAGAGCACAGGTTCAGGGGTAATTTGTTATTGTTGTTGTAAAAGGTAACTTCAGGACAGTTGCCTAACTTCAGGGTAGTTGCATTTATTTCTTTACAAAGAGAGTAATTGATTGGAATTGGTCACTGGCACCAGGGAGGGTCAGGACTCATTACATGTCCACCATCATATCTACCTCACCAATGGCAGGCAAGAATTCAGCCATTATCATAAAAGGTTATGGGTTCAAGTCCCAAGTCTGGTCTTCAAACTCATATGGTCTAAGCTGACACCAATGCAATGCTGAGAGTGTGCTTCATTGTTGGAATTGCTGACCTTCGGGTGAAATGTTAAAGTGAGGTGTTGTCCTCTTGTTCAGGTTGATGTTAGCGATTTAGGCACTATTCGTAAAGAGAAAGGTTTCTCCTGGTGTCCTGGCCAACAGTCCCTCATCTTGAAGAAAATATGGTTATTCACTTTGCAGGACATTTCTGGGTACAATTTGGCTGCTAAGTTCACTCACAAAGCGCTGCAGTAAATTCTGTGAACTGCTTTGGAGTCCTGTAGCTCAGTGGTTGAGCACTCGCTTTGCAAGCTAGAGACCTGAGTTCAATTCCAGGCAGGGCGAAACCTTGGGCAAGTTTCCTTACTCCACACGCCTAATAATAATCCCTCCAAAAACCAAAAACAATAATAAATTGGTCATTTTCAATCCACAACTGTTTGTGGGACATTGCTGTGCGCAATTGGCTGCCGCGTTCGCCCACAAATATACAGTCAATTCACTTTACAGTGTGTTCTGTGAAGCGCTTTGGGACGTCCTCCCGACGTGAAAAGCGCTATATCAAATGTAAGGATTATTATTATATTATTATCCTCCTGACGTGAAAAGCACTGTATCAAATTATTATTATCACAGAGATTTCAGTGCAGAAAGAGGCCATTCACTATCGGCTCTCAGAGCAAAGTGTTCCTTCAGTTCTATTGCCCTGCCATATCACCATACCCCTTCAAGCCTCTATCTTTCATACCTTCAAATACCATTGGTCACCTGCTATCCAGAACTTCATCCTGGAGTCCCTCCAACTGGTTCGCTCCCCCCCTTATTCAAGTTTGTCTCTTGCTTTCGGTCATCTTCCTCCTCCCCACCACCAGCTCGGGTACCCAGCCAATTTATAAATATCAATTGTATTGGATTGAATTGTATTTAAGAACTAGTTTGATGCTATAATGGGATGATGGGTATGAGGTAGAAAGGGAGTCTGTGCTACTGTCTTCAACTGCCCAGAAGTCTAAGGTTTTCAGACTTTGGTAAATTCAGATGCTACATTTTGGACTTGATTTTGAAAGGACTTGAGAGATGAGGTCTCTTGAACACATGTTAGTTCTACACAAGGGATTATCCTCAATAACGAGCTTTGACTTTGTTCTTTCAGGTCTGGCGTTGTATCTGGTACAGCTCAATCTTCCACTAGGTACGTGTTCAAATTTCAAAATATGAGAAAAGAAAGAATTCCATCTTAACATCACCTATAACCTTGAAGCACAGTGGCCGTTTGTTGGACAGCAATGTCCCATAAACAACAATTCATCTGGAGGATTGCTGGCCAGGAGAAAGTCCATTCTCTGTTCAAATCGTATCATGGAATCATTTATGGTCATTTGCTCATCCAAACCTCCACTGCTTGTCTCCTCTCCCCACCTAACTCCAGACGCCCATTACCCCAAACCTCACAATCCCCCCACCCCCCCACCCAGGCCTCACCACATTGGTGGCTGAGCATTCAGGCATCACACCCCTAATTTGTGGAGTCCTATTGTGTAATAATAATAATAATAATCCTTGCATTTGATATAGCGCTTTTCACGTCGGGAGGACGTCCCAAAGCGCTTCACAGAACACACTGTAAAGTGAATTGACTGTATATTTGTGGGCGAACGCGGCAGCCAATTGCGCACAGCAATGTCCCAGAAACAGTCGTAGATTGAAAATGACCAATTTATTATTGTTTTTGGTTTTGGAGGGATTATTATTAGGCGTGTGGAGTAATGGAAACTTGCCCAAGGTTTCGCCCTGCCTGGAATTGAACCCAGGTGTCTCACTTACAAAGCGAGTGCTCTAACCACTGAGCTACAGGACTCCACGTGTATTGGTTAGAGCACTTGCCTTGCAAGCAAAATGACCCAGATTCGATTCCCGGGCAGGCAAAACTTAACACAAGTTTCCTTACTCCAAACACCTCTGTTTAACTGTCACTGTACAGCTCTGTGATGATAGCTGTATGGAGGGCGCTGCATAAAATGCATATTGTTGTTGTTCTTTATCAATAATTCTCTACATTAATCAGTAATTCACGTCATGGCTGTTTGTGTGATTTTGCTATATGTAAAACGGTTGCCATGCTTGCTACAATAATTATTCACTATCCATGACTGTAACTTCTATGTGGACTTTAGAAATACTATAGAAATATAGTGCTATAGAAATACTTCTTTCATTCCTTCATTCATTCCTTCACTCAAATGGGTTCATCCACAGTCACTGCACTTTATAATGTATATTCTCAAACATATGAAATGACCTCCTATCACACAAAAAAATGCTATATTAAATGTAAGGATGATAGTTCCCTTCCTCTGCTCATGGAAATGTGACACTTGCTGTTTGGGAAAGAAAGGAGGTGCAGTCAGATTGAGTGAATATATTCATTCTTATGTCTTGTCACTACAGAGTTATTGAAGTTGTCTCCTCCATGTCCTCAAGCTCCAGTGCAATTGGTAAGTGAACTTCAAGCTCCATTTTGTTCAGTGTTTAGGAATGAGCTGCTTTCTGAGCATAAAAGAGATGGAAATATTATGATGGGAAGCTTCAGAAAGGTTTGCGTAGTTAGCATGGCATGCGTGAAATGTGTAGTTGGCAGTGTTTTGTGAATGGCGCTTAACTTGGTCATGCGGCAAAGAAAAATCTCTTGCAAAGGAAACTGACTGGCTCCTCTAGGTGGCTTTTCTTTGTTTCCAACTGCTTCTGCTGTTGTCTTCTTTTCGGTTTTGTGTAATTTCTACTTTAATCAGTGCAAAGCCATCTCTGTTCTAGTCACACACCATTCTTTTCTTCACCTGGTTTGATAAACACCAGGGTCTCATATTACTGTTATCTGATGAGAGGGTGGTTTGAGAATGTTGCTTCATCATTTCCAGACCTCAGGCACATTCCCTCCATCTTATTATTATCTATCCAAACATCTTGCCAGAGAATCTACATTCAAAATGCAGAAAGACATTTATCTAACCTCTCCTTTAATTCTGTCTTTGATTATCCGATGCCCCAACCGGTGCCCTAATCCAACCCGGGGACCGAGGCCCATCTACCCCGGTCTGCGGGAGTCCCCGCCACAGCCATGGCAGCCATGACCGACTCTCCCAGTCACCAGCCAACCAGAGACCGGTTGCCGCATGACGCCACATCTGTCCACCAACTCTGAATCTCTCAGTCTGGACTGACTGGGACTATAACATTGTCCCCCGCCCCTCCCCATGATGACACTCACCGTTGCGCTAACCATGCCTCGCTAACCCACCCCTACCCCCGCCGCTTGCTTTTAGTCTCGGCGTGCGCATTATGGCTGCCGCCACCGACCCGAGCTGTTTCCCCACAATACCCCCACCCCTGTCCTCTACCCTCACTTACTCCCTCTCAGTCCTCCTCTCCCACCACCCTCCCTGACTCCTATCCTTGCTCGACCGTCCCACAGCTTCCCTCTACTCCAGCCTGAGAATCCTCCGTCGGGTCAACCGTGGGAGTCGCCACTGGCTGTCTAAAAGCCCTACTCTCGCCGCAAGACTCACCAGTCCCTGACCACAGGGGCCAACGTCTCCTTCCTGATCCACATCCCTACCCTCCCTATCAGTCCCCCCCCCTCCCACTTCTGAACTCCTACCCCTCTGGGCATCCTCCCACACTGACCTTTCCTCCTTGGTCACCCTTCTCCACAGCTCCCCCTCCTTCACTCTTGATTCACTCGCTCCGCTCTCTTCCCGAACCGTCTCCTACTCATGCAAATCCCCCTGGTACACCAGCCACCTCCGCTCCCTTAAAGCCCAGGTGAGATTCTCTGAGCGCACCTGGCTTAAATCAAACATAACTTTCTGCCGCCAGATTTGGCTGGACCATGTCAAATCCTACCGCCCCGCTCTCGCCTCTGCTAAATTATTGTTCTACTCCAAGACAATCTTGTGGAGGAAGAAGTTGGGGAGGCCAACAAGCAGTGAATTTGCATAGTTGAGCCTCGATGTAATGAAGGTGTGTATAAGGGTTTTCGGTCGCCTGAGGTGAGGAGGCCCTGACGGGAGTCAATCAGGAGAGCCTTGGTCTTGTTGACATTCAACTGAAGAAAGTTAGCTCTCATCCAGGACTTGATGTCTGACAGATATTCTGTCAGCACAGCAATAGTCCTAGAGTCAAGGGAGAGAGGTAGAGTTGGGTGCCATCCGCATACATGTGGAAGTTGACCCCTTGTCTGCGGATGATGTCACCAAGGGAGAGCAGATAGATGTTGAGAGCCCTGAGGAATGCCACACGAGACGGTCCGGGGGCTAGAGGAGAAGCCATTTGAGGAGATGAAGTCAAGCGGTGTGAGAGTTACTATCTGACCCAATCAAGGACAGCGCCTTGATCAAGGTGGGGGAGGGGGGCACTGATAGGAAGAGTAGGGATGTGGATCAGGGAGGAGAAGTTGGCCCCTGTGGTCAGGGACCGGTGAGCCTTGCGGCGAGAGTAGGGGATAGACAGATGTTAGACAGCCAGCGGTGACTCCCACAGTGGGCCCAACAGAGGAATCGCAGTCTGGAGCAGATCATCCAGAACTCTGCAGCCCGTGTCCTCTCCCGCACTAGGCTCCTTGTCCCTATCACCCCCATTCTTGCCCAACTCCTCTGGCTTCCCATCACACAGAGGATACAGTTCAAGTTCCTGGTCCTCACCTTCAAAGCCCTCCTTGGCCACCACCCCGATCCTCAGCTCGAGTCCGTAACTCTGTCTGTCCAGCGCCTTGGGATGTTCTCCTGATGTGAAAGACGCTATATAAATGTAATTTTGTTGTTGTTGTTCAATGGTCATTTCATGTATGCATAACTATAACTAAAGCATTTACCATCTCCTAAACCTCCGTAATCTTGAACACCAAGTTGTGAAGCTCCTGTGAAAAAGACCTAGTTTCTCCATTCTCTCTTTGCAACTAAAATTGCTAACCCCCGTTCACATCTCAGGAAATCTACACTACTTTCTCTGTCACTTTTATATCCTTTCTGGAATGGAGTGTCCAAAACCGTCCCCAATACTCTATCTGTTGCCGGTGTCGGCTCTCATCGAAGTCCAATGCTAACAACATTGCATCCTGCACTTTTGCCCAGATGTAGTTAGCAGTTAAAAGGAAGCAGTGATTGGTTATGAGATAACAGAGCAAGCGTGTTCTAGATCAGTGTCTGTTCCTGAAAGAGCTTTGGATTCAGCCTATCTGAGGTGCCTGAATTCCTTCACTAAGCTGAGACTGCCCAAAACCAACATACTAGCACTTGGCTTTCCTCCAGCAGAGTTGTGCTTCCTGGAGGTGAAAGGATTTCATTTTATTATTTGTCTTCATATCACTACCTTCATTTTTTTTTCCAACAGCACGTTCAACCAGTCCAACATTTAAGTGAGCAGCGGAGGGGATGAAAACTTGAACATCACCATGAGGCCCTGCTAAAGACTCAAACACTTCCGTGGTTCCTTTATTCCACGTGGTATAAATGCACTATCCAGCAGCACTTTTTTCTGAACATAATCTCTTTAACTCAAGCTTTGTGTGAACAAAGGCATTCATCTGTGCTCTCAATTGCAAGTTGCCACCAACCTTAGCTATGTCTCTTATATTGTAACTGGATCTATGAAATAAATCTGAGCTTCTTGGTCAAGCTGTACAGATTTATGAACGCTAGTGTGTGTAATTTAATTGCAATAAAAGCAAAATGCTTGACCATAAAGTGTGACGTCTGTACATCAAAAGAGAAAGTCAACCCAATATGCATGAGCTTTTGTGCTTTCCAAGTTCTGTTGTGTTTCATTATAGATGAAAATCTTAAAATGATTGCATACCTTGAGATCTCTCCCCTTGGAATTTTCACAGGTTAACCTGAATGTTTCTCTTCATGGTGTGACGCGTATTGACACACTCGTGCCAAAACACGCCGTATATGTATACAGTAATTGTAATTCACACAGTGCACCACTGGGCAGGTTTGAGTGGGTATACTGGAAGGATGAGATCAGATCCAAATCGATTCTTCATCCAACCTGATCTTGTGATCTGGTGAAGTCTCCAATCACTCCACCTCGCCCCCTCCTTAGCCTCCTTCAAGTCCTGATGTGAAAGGCGCTATACAAATGTAATCTTGTTGTTGTCTCACATTTTACTTGGGCGTCAAGGATCTTATACTGAAGTCAGGTGCTTGGCATCACTTGTTATCAATTGGGAAAGAGGAATTCACAGCACGAGGATATCATGCTCATTTGTAATATATCCCATTTTCATGTGAAATATGCAGTAGAGCATTAACTTTTTATATAAAAAGTCAAGTGCCGGTCTGCATTGCGAATTCCAGATACTCAGTCCTGTATTTCAAAAGGGGGTGGGGGGAACTGAAAAGCACTCTATCTAACAAGCTGCCCTACGTGAGGGTGTGTTATGTAAATGCAACTTGTTGTAACCGTGAGTCTATTTCTGCATTAAGGTCTACCGTAAGACGTTGTGAAGCACTATTTGGGACCTGCAGCAAGTTGAAAATGTTTTATGTTTTGGGAGAAATGCTTTATTGCTCTGCAGAAAAACACCCAGTTTGGGCTTCTTCTTGTTTGCTTCACACAAGGTTGTTTTGCATTTCGCGGTCCCTTGGTCTAGTGTTGAGGCTGGATACTATTGTCTGTGTCTGAATCATTTGCTTGAGTTTAATTGCGTTCTCCTCCTGATTCAGAAATCTTTATTTTTTGGGCAATATGAAAGAAAGGTTCCAATTATCTTTGTTGCAAAGTAAAGTAAAACCACAAAAGAGGTTCATGTTTCTTCAGTGTAAAAGGTAAATCTTGCCTTTGAGAGGATTTAAGCATTCGGAACTTATCTAAGTGCACCTATTCAGTATAAAATTAAAATGGCGCATTTCATGTCGGGAGAACATCCCAAGGCGCTGGAGAGTCAGAGACAAGCAGAGGGTTGAGACCAGGGTGGAGGGGACAAATTCACTGAACAGCGTCAAATGTACTCTCAAGACCAGTCACTGACCTGTTCTCGATCAAATGAGAAATCGATGTCCTTGTTTCTCACAGACGTTGAGCTAGTCAGGTTATTTCATAATAATAATCCTTGCACTTGATATAGCACTTTTCATGCCTTCTAGACATCTCAAAGTGCTTCACAGAATATACTGTAACATGAATTGACTGTATATTTGTGGGCAGAATGAGGCAGCCAAATTGCTCACGGCAGTGTCCCACAAACAGTCTTTGTTTTGTGTTTCCCACGATCTTATTACATTAACAAATGTGTAAAGAGATGGCTTTAGATATTGCAACGCGTCCCAAAGCAATATGCAACTTGGGTGTTTAATTTGAATATCGCCTTCACTGCAAACACAGGGGAAAGAGTTTGTAAAACACCAGCAGCTCAGATATGTAGTGACAAAATCTGGGAGCAAATGTGACAGCCAATTTGTGCACACAGCAATCTTCCATAAAGTCAATTATAATAATAATAAATAATAATAATAATAATATAATAATAATAATCCTTGCATTTGATATAGCGCTTTTCACGTCGGGAGGACGTCCCAAAGCGCTTCACAGAACACACTGTAAAGTGAATTGACTGTATATTTGTGGGCGAACGCGGCAGCCAATTGCGCACAGCAATGTCCCACAAACAGTCGTAGATTGAAAATGACCAATTTATTATTGTTTTTGTTTTTTGGAGGGATTATTATTAGGCGTGTGGAGTAAGGAAACTTGCCCAAGGTTTCGCCCTGCCTGGAATTGAACTCAGGTCTCTCGCTTGCAAAGCGAGTGCTCTAACCACTGAGCTACAGGACTCCAATTGAAGTTAGTGACCAATTATATGGAGGGGGGGGGGAAATAGGTGGGTTGTTGGTCAGGACATTAGGAGAAACTCCCTTCTCTTTATCAAATAGAGTTGTGGGTGTTTTAACGGGATCTCGGTTCTACATTTTATTTGAAGGATGGTATAGCCAGACAAGAGAATCATGGCAGGGCACTGTATTTAAGGAGGTGCAGCAATGCAGCATACTTCCGTGGGCTGACTTGGTGCAAGCAGAGCTCCTCTGCAAGTGCAGCTGAACAGATATATTCCATCTATTGGAGAAAACTAATCACTCATAAATGAACAAGAACATGTAAATTGTGAGGTAGCAGAAATCCATGTTTATTTACCACCTGCTGGTTTGTATTCTAATACAGTATAGTGTTCATCACTAACTAGATTTTCAAGCATCTTTTTAAATACATTTTCTATCATACAAATATTACAGCTATCAGCAGTCTTTTCAATGTGAGAAAGTTGCATTGAGTCACTTAAAATGAATGGGGCTCTCTCTCCCTTTGCTCCGTTTTCTCCGGGGCTGTACAAAATCATCGTCAAAATCCTCGTTCACTTTTGTGTTTTCGTTCTCGCTCTTTGCTGCTCCTGGAGGTGAAAATTTCCTTTCTGGATACAGCAGTTTTAATTTCTCCTCAAAGCGATCATCCAAAGTCCTACCAGCGTGTGACACTTCAGAGTCTGGCTGCAAAGTGAACATATAAATGAGGCTGAACTTTCTGATAGATATTACTCTCGGCAAGTCAGTGACTAGAAGGCATCAATTTAAAGAGCAAATGCAGAGGTGAGAAGAATTTGTTCACGCATAAAGGTTAGGATATTGAATGCTCTTCTCGGAGCAGTGATTGAGGCAGAATCCTTCAAAGGGAACTAGATAAATACCTAAAAGAAGAAACATGGAGTTATGGTGAAAGGGCAGGTAAATGGGACTGAAAGGATTGCTCTTAAAGGAGCCAGCACGGACACGATCGGCCAAATAGCCATCTTCTGTGCTGTAAATTTCTATGCTTCTCGGAAACCTTGTCTGCTCTGCAAGGCTTCCACTCACTAGTTACCTGATGGGTTCCATGCTTAATTTGATCTCTTACAACCAAGGACACATATGAGGTTTGGGTTCTTGACGGACTACATATAAGAAAGGATTGACTTTTACATTGTTTCCAAATAGGATTGGTGGGAATTTAGTTTGTTCCAAAGTTTATTAACTTTTGACTTAGTTTATTGGTCGTTTTCTTACAATTAGTTTAGTTTTGACACATTCAACCTTTTTACTTGCACGCAATCCATACCATTGCTCCTGTGTGCAAAAGAGAAACCAGATGTGGGGTAACTGCTAGAGGTTAACCAGTGAGAAAGATATAGCTTATCATTGAGAGCACTGTCAGGCAAGCTTTGCACTCTTTTTCCTGCTAGGACCAGACTGCCCGTTTGGGCTTTGAATAACAGGAGTCGAGTGGGAAGAATCCCTGCTCTCAGTGCTGTTCCTCCAAGTCCTGCCGATGAGCTGGGCCGGCTGGTCCATCACCAACAGTGCCTTGAAGTGTTGTGGCTCAACTCGGCTCAGGAACTGAACGACCAAGATCACCATAAAGGATTGACAACTGATGTCCCATTACTATGCAAGTTGCCTTGGAGCCAGCTCAGCCTCAAAAAGACCCCATTCCCCAGGAAGATAGTCGGGTTAAAAAAAAGCGTGGTATTAGCCTCTTAATAATTAGTTTCGGGGTGTGTCCTTGGTTGTAAAAAATCCAAATTAGGGTCTTAGCTCTGTCTCACGTGTACAAGGCGCATCTTGTCATTCTGTGCCCGGACAGAGAATATATAGTTTGATACAGCGCCTTATCACGTCGTTGAGACGTCTCAAAGTGCTTCACAGAATACACTGTAAAATGAATTGATTGTATAATTTGTGGGTGAAACATGGTAGCCACACAGTGGCGTCCCAATAGAGGACCAATTTGTTTTTTTAATTTTTGTTTTTTTTGAGAGATTTTCATGTTGAAGAAGTGTCTCAAGGCACTGAACAGTTAAGAGTTTGCACCCAAGCTGGGGGTTGGAATCAAGAGGGGTGGAGGGCAGGGGCACTCTTGTTTGTTTCAGAAACTGAGCTGAAAACTCAGTGCAGCCAAAGTCAGCAAGGGCTGAAGAGAGTTTGGATTTTAAAAGCCTTGAGGGCTGTGTAAGGAACAGACATCGTAGGGAGGTATGGAGTTCAACAGACTCGAGGCTCGAAGTTGGGAAGCATAGAATGATTGAAAGACTGAAGCAGTCTGCAATTGACAGTTTTGTAGTGAATGAGCAAGGAAAGACCGAGAGGTGTGGAGCCTCCATCATCTTGAGGTCCTGAGAAAGACTGAGGTGGAGCAGTCAATGATGAGGGAAATGGAGGGAGGTGGAAGAGTGCGTGGGGCAGTGCTTACCTCATTGAACTCAGAACAGTTCTTAAAAATCAACCTAACATCAGCCACAAATTCATCAGGTTTCTGATAGTGATGTGCGAATTTCTTCTGTAATTTTTTCTTCACAGTTGACATGTCCATTGGCTTTTTAATAATCTTGTAGTAATCAGGCACCTGCAGAAAATGACCAGCCTTTCTCTGTCGTGGTTCAGTCAAAGGTACAGTAATAATAGTAATGATCCTTGCATTTATCATATCAAAACATCTCACACTGCTTCACAAGATATTCCTACTCTTCATATCAATAATGATCCTTGCATTTCATACAGCACCTTTCACATTGGGAAGCATAGAAGACAGGATGATTGAAAGACTAAAGTAGTATGCAATTTGACAGTTTTTTGTTTTCTAAATCCAGTGGACAAGCTCAGCTTCCTGTGGTCTGGGTCACACCTCCATTGAGTAACTCAGCTCCACAGAATGGGAGCTCTCAGGCTTCCTGATCAGTGCAGCCAAACTCGATAACAACTTTTAAGAGAGAAGTAGATAATTATTTAGGAAAGACAAGTTTGCAGGGCTATAGGGAGAGCGCAGGGGAGTGGGATTGATTTGGATAGCTCTTTTAAAAGAGCCGGCACAAGCATGATGGGCCGAATGGCCTCCTTCTGTGCTGCATAATTCTATGATTCTATGAAGACATCTCAAACCTCCCTTTTGTTTTCAAATAGTGCCATGGGATCTTTAATATCCACCCGAATAGACAATGTAGCACTTCCCCTAGCTCAGTCTGGACCTTGAGCTCATCGCCTCCAAAATAGTGCTTGAATTGCTAACCTTCAGATACAGAGGTGAGAGTGCCTCCAACTGAGGCAGGAGGACTGTTCCCCTCTATAACACTGAGGCCAGTTATAGCTGAGATCAATTTAACTCAGCACTGATCAGGGAGCCTGAGAGCTCTCAGTCTGTAGAGCTGAGTTACTCAATGGAGCTGTGACCCACATTATAGGAAGTTGAGCCTGTCTAGTGGATTTAGAAAAAAAATAAGCATTTTTTTCTAAAGGTGCCTCATTTTCGAGGAAATGTTCACAGCTGCACTATTGACAAATCAGTCTAGATTTAAATTGAACTTCTGACGGGGGGGCTTGAATCCACAAGTCAGGAGTGCAAACAGGCTGAGAGAGGAGAAAATGTTGTGGCTTGTTTGTCTTCCAGGTCTAAATGTAACACCTTTCCCTCAGAACCTTTGTTGGTCAAATAAAAGTATGGAGCGTTAAGGTTTGCTGACTGTTCATGTCTCTTGCCCTACCTGCCCCACCATCAACTTGCAGATGTTTGGCCTATCTGCCTCCACTCTCTGGAACTCCAATCTGGAATCCCTTTGACTTGCTCAACTCCCACCCCTCGTTCAAGGTGCGTCTTAAAATGTAGCTTCCTGATCACCTCTTTGGTCATCTTTCGCCTTCCAACTCCCATCCCCACCCCCATAGTTCGGTGCACAACCAGACCTATTAAGTGCCTTGGGACATCTTCCCGACGTGAAAGGCACTATATAAATGTAAATTTTAATTGTATTGTTGCAGTTGACTGGCTCTGGGCCAAATCTCTTTTTGGTTTGTTTATCCACATACACAAACTGCCGAGTAGATATTGACCCATTCTATCACCCTTCAATTTAGGATAGGTCAACATACTGTACTGTTATACAGGAAGTGTCTATGCCACTTCCTGCGCATAGGATTCAAAGCAAAAGAAGAGACATCAGTGGTGACCCCGTGACCCAGCCATGCTGACTGGTGGATGTGTTTTTTTTTGCAAAGCGGAGTTTGAGTTGATGAACACAAGTTATAGCAGAGGATTAACAGGTAGGGAATACTCACAACTGAAGCCGGGACCGGTTCCTGGAAAGCCACGCTCATCTCATCGCAATACAAGGACAGCAGCAGCCGTTCACATTTCTGTAGCACAAAGCTTTCTTATTTCACGTAACTATTATAGGATAATGTTGCATTAGAGATAGGGCAGTGTAAGTTTAGCAAAGATGTTAGCATGGATGAGCGGACCCAGCTATCTGGAAACATAGGACAGGTCAGAGCTTTTCTCTCTGAGTTGAGAAATTTGAGAGCGGACCTGAACGAGAGGTTTAAGATTATGAAGTAATTCAATAAGGTGGATATTAATAGGCTGTTTCTACTTGTTGGTGAGTCCATAACTAGAAGGTATATAAGTGAATATAAGTGAGTCAGCCACAGATTTAATAGGGAGTTTAGGAGGAACTTTTTCACACAGAGTGTGAAACTCCCTGCCAGAAGCTGTGTTTGAAGCAAAAGACAAAATTCAACATTTTCTAAAATTTAAACTAATAACATTATTATTCTCTAAACTATTAACATCCCCTCTTCTGAAAGCAACTGCTTTTTTTTGAAGAGTATCTTTTATTCTGTCCCCCTGCCCATATATGTATTTTTATAAGCCTTTTAAGAGCAGAACATTTGGAAACACCAACCCTTTGATCAACAAGAGTGAGTCCAGTGGATCCCCCTTTCCTCTTTTCCCCTTTATCACCATCATGGCGTTGGTTATCACAGTCGTACAGAACCTCTGGCTTTGAAAGATCGCGGCAGAATGTGCAGATCCATTCTCCACTGAGGAAGGAATAAAACGGACATGAACAGGCTTGGCAGCAACGGTTTTAAATAATAGCAATCCTTAAATTTGATATTGTAACTTATCACATTGCCAAGATGTCTCAAGACACTTCACAGGATATACTCCTTTCTCTTTTCGAATGGCTCTAGGACCTTTAATGTCAACAGGCATAGCTCAGAGCTCGGTTTAACATCTCATCCAAAGGACGGCATCTCGGACAATGGAGCACTCTCACCAGCACTGCACTGGAGTGTCAGCCGAGACTGTGAGCTCAAAGTACCGGATATGGGGCATCCTTATTAAGAAATCCCAGAGAAAAACTGACAACTAAATCCTAACACAGAACCTTAGTGTGGATTGATTTGCATTTCCCAAGAGCCTGACTAGATCTTGAACCAAGTTCTCCCAACATGAAGGAACTCTTCAGGACAAAAATGCTTGAAGCCCTTACCTTGGAAAAGTGAGAAGTGTTGGAACGTGGCAGACCAGATGAAATACTTTGGGACATTTCTCACAACAGAGGAGATCCCCGCCATTCTGACACACAGCGCACCAGTCCTCATTCGGGTCATCCTCTTTGCTGTTTTCCCCTGCAGCCCGCAGAGATTTGTGAGATGTGCTTTTGGATTGGGCGGGTTGAGCGAAGATTGTGTTGTCAGTGGGCGAGGCTGTACTGTCTGGAGGGACCGTTTTTCCTGTGGCATCTTCTCTGTTCATGTCCTCTTGGTTGTTTATCTCCTCTTCTCGATTGTCTACCTGCACTTCTGGTAGCAATGTGTTCGGTAGTGGTTGGGTTGCATTCAGCTGTTTGTGAAGTGGGGAACAAAATAGTTGCAATTTTTACCAATTATTGGAGAGATATTCCACCTTAATCTAATTACATTACATTTCACCCCACAAATACAATCACTCCACTTCACAGGAAAATCCTGTGAAACTCTTTGAGACATTTCAACAACAAGATCAAGCTCTATCTCAAGGATTATTATTATTATTCAAAGAGTCCAGAATTTGGCAACCGGCTGAATATACTTTGCATAAGAATTGACAGAAAACCGGTTTCAAGATTGAGGTTGTATGCAGGACACCCAAATTCTGGATGTTCACAAAAGCTCATCCCTCTAACACTGGAGACAATCTTTGACGCAATCTCCTCAGTGTTCTCTCTTATACTTAAGGCAGGCTCCATTGGCACCTGCTTTGATGGAGTTGCCATTCTTCGGAGATGTTTAAACCGAGCTCCTGTCTGGGGTCTGTTCAGCTGGATGTTAAAAATCCCATAGAAGGTTTTTTTTCTTTCCCAGTGTCTGACCAACAATCACCAAATAATATTGGCCACTCACTTCACGACTGTTTTTGGGGCACAGTGCAATTTGACTGCTATGTTCGCCTACAAAATACAGTGACTACACTCAAAGCACTTCACAAATCTGAGCTCTCCCACCCACGCTCCCACGTGCATGTAAAATTAATGTTCAGTTATCTGGAGTTTTGACCCGAACTCACCGTGCAGATCTCCTGCTCAGTCTCTGCAGGCTCTTGCTTGATCACAATGATGGGAAAGTCACTGACATCGTCCTCCGAAAGAGGTTCTTGCTTTATGTTCAGTGGTTCCAGGCAAACTTGAGAGATCTTCTGCTGAGGTTCCGGCCTCAGCATCCAACTGGATGAGGTGCAGCTGAAAGAGGGAATGATTGGGTCAGAGCAGAATCTGGTAACAGACTGTCTCAGTCAGTGAAACGCTTACACCTGGGTGGGTTCAATTCTCACATTAGGACACAATCTCAGTCCAGAATATTAATAATATAATCCTTATATTTGATAATAATAATCCTTGCATTTGATATAGCGTTTTTCATGTCAGGAGGACGTCCCAAAGCGCTTCACAGAACACACTGTAAAGTGAATTGACTGTATATTTGTGGGCGAACGTGGCAGCCAATTGCGCACAGCAATGTCCCACAAACAGTCGTAGATTGAAAATGACCAATTTTTATTATTGTTTTTGGTTTTTGGAGGGATTATTATTAGGCTCTGTGTGGAGTAAGGAAACTTGGCCAAGGTTTCGCCCTGCCTGGAATTGAACTCAGGACTCTCGCTTGCAAAGCGAGTGCTCTAACCACTGAGCTACAGGACTCCACAGGGCCTTATCACACCATTGAGGCGTCTCAAAGAGCCTCACAGGATTTACTGAAAATATATTTTTAAATAGTTTTGAACAGTGAATCTACAACGTCCACCTGAACAGACACAGATGGGACTTCAGATTAATGTCTCATCTGAAGGATGATATCTCTGACAATACAGTGCTCTCCCACCCACACTGCTTCATAGTGTTTGCATAGAAAATATGGACTCCAAGTCCTGAAGCTTGAATTCGCAAGCTTCTGATTCAGAGGCCAGTGGAACATTTTTATTTCCTTGCGTATGTGGCATAAATATGTGGAAACTTCCATGTGCAGGTGGCATTTATGGAACTGTGTTCTGCATATTCAAGCATGGTGCTCGGTTTCCACACATGTCCAGACCTAAAACTTCAGGTCTTCATTTTTCAGTGAAAAACTTCTATAAGTATCCATTATTATTCTTATCACCTGGACCCGTGAGTAACAGGATGTTCACACTTAGAAGCACAAGGGCTGGGCAAAGGGTCACCATCTGAGTTAATCTCAGTTTTATACCTTCCTCTGCTGCCATTGCTGGATGCACTGGAGGAACGGCCTGGAGGGTTCACGCTGGTGATGGTTACTGATCCTGAGAGAGAGAGAGAAAAACTCACTGTAATCAAGAAAAAAACAATAATGATTTGTTCACTCAATCCACGACTGTTTGTGGGACACTGCTGTGTGCAATTGGCTACCGCGTTTCATGCACATATATACAGTCAATTCACTTTACAGTATATTCTGTGAAGGGCTTCGAGACATCTAGAAGACGTGAAAAGCGGTATATTAAATGCAAGGATTATTATTATTATCTCTGCATTAAAGGGGAACAGGGGGCTGTTCAGCCCATCAACCATATTTTGGGGTGGTTTTTTAATTTTCCTGCCAGAATACCTTAATAATAATCCTTAAATAATCCTCACATTGGATACTTCACCTTTCACATCATAGGATATATCATGAAGTGTAGTGACTATGTATTTTATGGGTGAATACCAAGTATACTTTCAGGTGTCAGCCTGGCTCAGTCAGTATCACTCTCCCCTCTGAGTCAAAATGTTGTGAATTCAAGCTCCATAGTCAACAACAACAACAAGAAGATTACATTTGTATAGCGCCTTTCACGGCGGGAGGACATCCCAAGGCGCTGGACAGTGTATAGCATTTCAGACCCGAGCTGGGATCAGGGCGGGAGAGGGAGGGGAGGTGACCGATGGCATAGTCGAACAGGAGGCGGGACTTGAAGGAGGCTAAGGAGCGGGCGAGGCGAAGTGATTGGGGAATGGAATTCCAGAGGTTGGTGGAAGAGTGGCTGAAGGCTCTCCCGCCAATGGTGGGGCGGGTGGGTCGGGGGATGTGGAGCAGGCCAGAGCCGGCTGAGCGGAGGGAGCGGGCGGGTTGGTATGGGGTTAGGAGGTCACAGATGTAGGGTGGAGCGAGGCCATGGAAGGCTTTGTAAGTGAGGACCAGGATCTTGAACTGGCCGATGGCATAGTCGAAGGGGAGCATCTTGAGGCCGGACTTGAAGGAGGCAAAGGAGGCTAAGGAGGGGGCGAGGCGGAGTTATAATAGGAGGTTCAGGTTGGCTGGTTCAGGCTTAACAGAAGCAGATGGATTGGTTACCTGCGTGCCCGGGAGATGGGACCGAAGGGCCAGGCGAATGGTTGGTACTGGAGGCCGAAGGTTTGGCGGAGCTGCCATTTCCAGGCTTCTCCCTGTTCAGTAAACTATCCAGCAGTGCCGTCCCAGCATCATCCAGCTGCCATTGTAAAAAGAAGAAAATACACATTTGTTGGGAAACCATTACAGACGGCGAACAGCAAATTGAACTGGGACCTTGTGGGCTGGGCTTTCGCTGCATTGAAATCTCCAACCTGTTCCAGATAGCTTTAGAAAAACTTTAGATGTCAACCTGGCTAAGTCTATCGCACTCCCACCTCCAAGTTAGAAGGGTTGTGAGTTCAAAACACAGTCCCAGTAAAAAAAAAATCCTATGAAACGGTTTCAGATGTCTTGACGATGTGATAAGGCGCAGTATCAACTTCAAGGATTATTAACTGTAACTACTGAAGCTCTTGTATAAAATGAAGTTTGAGTCCAGTACATTTTCTGCAGAAACCCTATCCAGAACAGAATAGGCTGTGGAGGAGGGGAATAATGATGATTCTATCTAGTTATACAATTTAAGGTCACTCAGGCCAATGACACTAAGTGGAAACATTTTGAAAAGAAATTTTCTGTAAAACTGGTTTCCCTGCATTGGTCACCTCACATTGGGAATTTGAACTCACTGTCCAGGCTGAGCAAAGGTGCGGTGGGCACTGCAATGTCACAGGTGGAATGAAAATTTAAACTAACTCTCATCTGCCTGGTGGATATTGAAGATCAACACTGCTCAAAATAAGAATGGAGGTTCTCCCAGTGTCCTAGCAACAAATCTGTATGACCGACAGTGATAAAAGCTGTGTAACAATTCTCCAGATAAATTGGTCACTCACTTCATAGCTGTTTGTGGAACATCGCTGTGCACAAATTGGCTGCTATGTTTGGCTACAAAATGCATAGTTAATAGGGAAAACTCTGCAAAGTGCTTTGAAACATTTCAATAAAGTGCTATATGAGAGGAAAGTATTATTATTATGATTATTTTGCTCATTGATTGAAAACACTCAAAATCTTTGCAAATAAGTGTGCGAGCCATATGTATGTCAGCCTGGCTCAGCCTCTGAGTCAGATGGTTTTAGGTTTAAGCCACATCAGAACCTGAAACTCATTAAAGTTCTACTATAAACACTGACACCCCAGTGTTGTCCCGGGGAACGCTGCAGGGCACTGTGATGACAGGACAGACAGGCTGAGCGCAAACCAGCTGGCTCATTTCCCTACAAAATGCAGTCACTGCACTTTACAGTGCAGTAAAGGCGTGAGGGTGTGGAGGCGCTGACAGAAGCCAATCAGGAGGGCCTTGGTCTTGTTGAAATTCAACTGGAGTAAGTTGGTTCTCATCCAGGACTTGATGTCTGACAGATATTCTGTCAGGACAGCAGTGATCTTGCACTTAAATGGCAAACTGTAGCTCTTTATAAAATGATTTCAGTCCAGTTTAAACAGCTGTCCTTAATCAACCCCCCCCCCCACCGATCGGAATAGGAGGGAAGGTGGTGGGGGTGGGGGGCAAAGATGGACATAGCAACCGAAGAAATTTGAAATCAGGAGGGGAGATTGAACCGAAACCTCCTCATGTTCGTCGTGCTCTGCCCTGAACAGAATCTGGAGAAGTATAATTGGACCTGAAGCCAATACACCAACCATAGCTAACTTCGCCACACAATGCTATATCATGGTGTGTGCGTTTTGTTTTTACCTGAATTGGAGGGAAATCAGGTATGCAGGATAGGTGCTCAGCACTGGTAACTTGTGAGAGCAGCTCTATCATTGGATTCGGATTTTTGGAAAACGCTCCTCCACTTGCAGCCATGGTAGAACTAGAGGGCATAACTGGAAAAGGTCTTGGTTGTCCTGGGATGAGATGCTGAGGAAAATGGTGGAAAATGGTAATAGTACAGTGCACGGTTATAGGAATGAGACCAAGGGAGCGGGCGAAATGGGGCACAATGCAGCTTTCTCCAGGAGGAGGCTATAACACATTCAATGCTGACTGCATTCAGGCTCTGCAGAATGACCCACTATTCTCAATAATAATTCTTGAATCGATATAGTGCCTTATCACATTGTTGAGATGTCTCAAAGCGCTTCTCAGAATATATTGTAAAATTAATGGAGTGCGTATTTTGTGGACGAAACAGCAGCCAGTTGTATACAGCAGTGGCCCATAAGTAGTCCTGGATTGAGTGACCACATTTTTTGTGGGAGGAATTGTTAATGTTGGAAAGTGATCTGCCTATCGACGAACAACCCAGTTCCTACTAACCTCCAGGTAAACAGAGGCTTATGGAGTGAAGAAACTTGCCTTTTCCCCAGCCTGGGAATCAAACCCAGGATCTCTTACTTGTAAGGTGGGTGCTCTAACCATTATTCTACAGGACTCTAATTAGGGCTAATCTCCGATCTTTGTTCATTACAGCGTGAGGTAACTGCGGAACCTGAATGCTCACTCTCCCAACTCTCCATCTGACTTGTTTTTAATCGAGAGGTCTGAGTTTATCATTGGGCTGAACCGTCTTGCGTTTCTGTAGATTGTTTGTTTCCTGTTCCTTCGTGGGCGGTGGTTCTGGTGATACAATCAGGGCTACATTCCTCTCTGATTCCATTGGCTGGGAAGAATTTGTTTTACGTGTATGTCCGTGTGTTTACCATCTCACACTGCACAATCCTTTAAACCACAAACTGCAATGAGCATGTGGCCAGAGGGGCCAATTGTTCTCTGTGAGTGAGCTGTTCTCAGCCAAGCAGCCCAGTTAATTCACCTCTGCATGCCACTTAGTAGAGCAACGAGGGCAAATCAGCCAGTATGTAAAGTTAACTCTTGTGGAACATGTATTGCACTATATAATCTAAGGTCTATATGTATGCTACAGTGCATATGATGTGTCCATAAACTATATAAAAAATAATAATCTTTGCATTGAAATAGGGCCTTAGTACATCATCGAGATGTCTCAAAGCGCTTCACAGAATATAGCGTAAAGTGACTGTATATTTTGTAGGCAAATGCAGCAGCCAATTGCGCACAGCAGTGTCCCATAAACAGTCGTGGATTAAGTGACCATTTTGAAGGGATTATTACCCCAGGAAAAGCGTGAGCCAAACAACTAATAACCAGGTTCCTACTTACTGCTACGTGAGCAGAGGAGTGTGGCGTAAGGAAACTTTCCCAACGTATCGCCCTACCTGGGAACAAAATTCAGGTCCTCTCGCTTGCCAGGACCAGTTTCTCTCACTACAGGACTAAGCTACAGGACTCCATATAGTATGCCAAACACTTTGTACACACTGTACCAAACACTATGTTATTTTGCAGAATGCACCCCATCCCCCATTAGTGGAGTCCTGTAGCTCAGTGGTTAGATCACTCGCCTCGCAAACGAGAGACCTGGGTTCGATTTCCGGCAGGGAGAAATCTCGTTAGCTAAGCTTCCTTACTTCACACGCCTCTAGCTAGCATTAAGTATGAACTCGGAAAATAAGAAGAAATTGGTCACTTCAATTCTCGACTGTTTGTGGGACACTGCTGTGCGCAATTGGCTGCTGCGTTTGGCCCACAAAGTATAGTAATGCACTATACAGTATATTCTATGAAGGGCTTTGAGACGTCTCAAAGACGTGATAATGCGTTATATCAAATGCAAGGATTATCATTATTATTATTACTGTTCTATACAACTACAAGTTGTATTTATGTGGCACACTTCACATGGGGCAGCGTCTCAAAGAGCGCTCAACAGTGCTTGAGCCTAATGCCGAACCAGGGAGGGGAGTTGTACATGTACACTGTTTGGTATATATATATCTATAAATTGTATATATATATTATATATGTAGCTGTAGTGTAGTCACGGTTAAAACCATTTGAATGCTTCAGACACACTGCTTACCTGTCGCACCAGTAGCTGTACGGGGGCCAGCTGGGGTCCATTGGGCTGCTGGTTGCTCACCATTCTGCCTGCGTTCTGTGGTATTCTCATCTGATGTGCCTGCAGCGGTGGATGTGATGTGGTTCTCTGAAGGCTCTGTAGACTGATGAGGCGAGGCGGTTGCAGAGACTGAAGACAACACAGGTTGTTGTTACATAGCAAGTCTGGGAACCTGGCATTTGAACCTCAATCTGACACACAATTACATTATTTATTAAATCTGAGTTTATTCAATATTTACTTCCAGATCACCATGCTTTTTCTCAAAGTCCTGATATGGGGCTCGAACCCATAACCTTCTAACTCACAACCGAGAGTTCTAACCACTGAGCCAGACTCACATAAATCCCATATTATTCCTGGTTAAAATTCCTGGCTTTATTGCCAGTTATCGAGTTTACGCAACTGGTTTTCCTGGTCTGCATTCCCGGTTATCCTAGTTTGTATACTCACTTGATATACCCAGTTATATCAGTTTATTTTCCAGGTTTTCCTGGTTTATACACCTGGTTTATATTACGACTGATTTGCTGCCATGTTTATAGAGGTGTAAGACGGGCCAGAAGGGTGTTTGGAGCAGAGGTGACCTGACTAACATTGCTCAGAATGAACAGCGGCTCACCTGGCTGACGGGGGAGAGAGGGGCTTGGTGCTGGGGGAGTGGAGGACCCCCCGGCAGGGACTGCTGTGCCCCTGGCAGGACGGGCCTTATCTGCTGCATTCTCTGTTGGATCCGCTGAACCATGGCCTGTTGCTGCATGTGCTGGAGGCGAAGCTGAGCCAGGTTGATCTGACCAGGCACCTTCGCTGTGCTGTTCTCCTGAGAGTGTGGGTTCTGCCCAGTAACTGTGCTCGGCACAGTACCAGTCTGAAGCTGGACCTTATCCAAGACCAGAGAGCCTGTCAGAAAGGGAAAAATACAGATTTTATATTCAATTTGCACGTTTTCCTCATTACTCCCCCCACAAAAATCCTCTCATCTACGAAGGTTGTGACTCACAGTGCAGTGCAGAGTACTGCTTTGTCAGACTTGCTGACAATCCACCAGAAAAAATCAGTTGTCATGGCTGTTTGTGGGACATCGCTTTACAACTTGTCTGCCAAGCTAACCTACAAATTACAGTCACTTTGCTTTACACTGAAATCCTGCAAAGCACTTTGAGACATCCACCAGACATGAAAGGCACTGTATCAATTGTAAGTATTATTATGATGAAGCGGAATAGCTAAGATTAATCTAACAGCGAGGTAAACTGACAAATATAGAAAGCAGCAGATTAAATGTGAATGTTAAACAACAGCAAAATTACATTTGTATAGAGCCTTTCATGTCAAGAAGACGTCCCAAGGCTCTTGAAAGTCAGTGTTATGGACCTGAGCTGGGGGAACAGTGTCAGTGGTTAAAGAGAGGTTGATGATGGGCTTCATTTTTAAGATGATGGAGGTGAGGGAAGAGGGGGAAGACAAGGTCGAAGGTGTGTAGAGAGGGATGGGTGGGGGCCGGGTGTGTGGGGGGGGGGAGGTGGTAAGGAGGTAGTGGTGGATGGGGGAGAGGTAGCCGAACAAATTCCCGCGATTTTGGATTCGATGAAGTCCAACATCTCCTCACAGTTGGAATTGGAGGAGGACGGGCGAGGTTCAGAAAGATGGACAGAGGAGGCCATTAGTGGTGAAGAGGAGCCTGGGATCGTCTTTGGTCTCCAAGATTATCTTGGAATAAAAGGATGATTTGGCGGATGCAAAGGGCGGAACGGTCTTAGTGTGTTCAAGCTTAGATATGCTGTTGGACAGTTAGGTTTGATTTGGTCTAGGTGCCTTACCCAAATTGAGGACATTCTTAGCCCAGAAAGTTGGGTCACAGTGAAATCGAACTGAACTGGTTGCTACCGGCGATGCATCACATCTCGCTCGAAGAATGTATCGCAACTGAAAAGTGATCTGAAACAAGGAGATAGACCGTAGAAATTTACACAGAAGCACAGAAGAAGATTATTCAGTCCATCACGTCTGCTGTTCTTTACATACTGCACACTATACTTTATACTATGCTGTAATGTACAATGGAGCCCTGTTTTAACAGAGTGGGAATGAACAAGCTTTGCACAAGCCCGGACTTTCTTTGTCCTGAAACCCCCACTGCCTTGCAAATGAAAGCTGGCGTCTCACCAGCCGCTTGCTGTATAACAGGGCGATGCTGCTTCCGTTGGAAATGGCCCACTTAGCAAAGTTCATGACATGCTCCACTTGCTTTGAGAGGCCACTGATCTCCGTCTGTTGCTGCTCCAATTTTGTCTGGCGGTCTTTCGTCACGCTCTGCACAAAGAAACCACCCAGTTACAGCAAGTCTGCCGCTCTTTCACACTGAGCAGGTTATGAGTCAAGTGTCAGAACTGACAGAATAACAACCCTCACATTTGCCTTGCCTTTCACGTCATGAGAGAACATTTTAGGACAAATACAAATTTACATTAATATATCGCCTTTCACATGGAAGTGCTCTCCAAATGCAAGAATTATAATATTATCTAAACCTAGGTGAAATTAGCTTCCTAATCCAAATTCTAGGCCTGGCTCCTCCAGCAGGCTTCTTGGTCCATTGATCAGGGACAAACCTCTGGCTGGCTTTCTTGTTTTGTTCCTAGGGCGCTAAGGCCATTTATAAACCCCACCCCAGCGGCACTCAGCCCATGTTTGCTGACTAGACATAGACCTGGGGCCAGGGTGTAAGACACTTCCTTACCTGTAGGACTCAACTACTACTGCTATCACACATTAACAACAACAACTTGCACTTATATAGCACCCTCCACGCAGTGTAGGCAAGAACCTCAACACATACATACACATACAAAGGTATAACTGAATGTTTCTGTATCTTGTGCATGTAGGCTGCTTGTCAGCTGTTGAGGTGGTACAGAAAGTTTATATCTCAGGCTGTCTGTGAGGACAGCCCGGCTGTGACGACTGCGGCTGCTGTGACATTCCACCAGTTCAGCAGGAGGCAACTGGTGCTTTCACTGAGGTGCAGGCTTGACACTGACCTGTGCAGTGTAAACCCACGTGTAGTCACTTGCCTCCAGTTGCTGCAACAGTGCTTTCCCCTTCTTGTTTATCTCGATCATCAGTGTGAAGACAGCCACTTTGATGTCCTGCTCCACCTTCTTGCGGTTTTCATTCACTTCATTAATCCTGTAACACAAGAATCCTTGATGGACAATCATTGCATTTTGTATTGTACATTTCATGTCACTGTATATCACTGTAAAGTACTCATAATCATAGCATTTGAAATTGCGCATCTCACGTCAAGAGGATGTCTAAAAGAGCTTCACAACACTTCCTATCATGTGCAGTGACTGCATTTTGTTGGTGAATTGACACGAATTGAAAAGCAGCTCTTTATACTTGATTTAAATTATAGGCTCTGTGCTATCAAGAATAATAATTCTATTTGGTTTATTTCCACATGACATTAAAATTTCTCATACTTTTATTGGTAATTGACTGTCAAGTGTAGTAACTTAAGTGTAGTAGGTAAACTCAGCGGCCAGTTTGCTTAGAGCAAGCTGCCACAAACAGTCATGAAGTGAATGCCCAGCTGGAGAAGTGTTGTCCAGGACACCATTTCCAAAGAATCGCAATAAATCCAGGTGCATATTTTTAATTTGCATATTTTTAATTTGAGCATTTGAGCAGCAACTAATGGCAGAGCATGGCTGACAGCTATCACTGATGATTAATTGTGCTGTTATGTCTCTCCTCGCAAGGTAACAGAGGACTAATACCTGTTTTGTATCTGAGTGGCAGTGTACTGGATGTAGTTTTTCTTCTCTTGCAGCTTAGCTGTCAATGTATCGATGATCACCTTCTGGTTATTAAAGGCCTCTTCCAGAAATTGATACCTGCTCAAAAAGGCACAAGGAATGAGATACATTGGTCAGACTCCAGCAGTTATCCAAACTCCAGGGTCCCCAAACCTTGGCTCTTACCAAGCTGCGCCTGTATTAGTTAAGTAAGATGCGTCCCTCCAGTGCGAGAATGCGCACTCCATTCCAGACATGGGAATTTCTATGTGCAGATGATATACATGGAACTTTCAGTCTGGTTTAGATACTCTCAAGCACAGGCCGGGTCGGTAGGGTTGCAGGGGGCCGGAGAGGGAGATAGGGTGAGATGAGACCGTGCAGAGGTTTGAACATGAGGGAGACCGGGAGCCAGTGCGGTTACTACTGAAATTCACGGCTGTGTCTGAACTCAGTGTGAAATTGTTGTCTTTATTTAGCAAAGGCACTTAATTTAAGAGTTAGCAGTTGAAGATAAACTTATTGAGGTCTTAGTTTATACTACTAAGATGAGGAGAGTTGTAAAGGTCGGTAATAAGATGAGCAGTGGCACTGAATGAGCTGAATGGTCTCCTCCTGTGCTGAATCTCAATGCAGCGTCTAGCCGTCTGGTTACCTGTGTTCCTTGTGTTCCAGCAACTGGCAGTCCCGACACGTCAGGCGATCACAAGTCTCACAGAACAATTTGAGTTGCTCCTGCCTGTGGACAGGGCAGAAGAGTGCCCGCTGGTTGGACACACAAACCGCTTCTGAGAACAGAACAAAAAAACACAAATTTAACGTAATTTGGAACGTCATCCCGACGTGAAAGGCGCTCTGTAAATGTAATTTTGTTGTAAGATTTTGCCTGTGGCTTATTGCTGCCCTTGCTATTCCAAAGAAACATATCCTCCCTTGTATTCCCATCTGAATCCCATTTTAACCTAACATCCAACAAATTGGCTGTTCATCTCATTGTTCTTTGTGTAATTGCTGGCAGATTGATTGTCTTATTGGGAGTTGATATCATTTTGTAAGCCTGGTTCCTTCGGTAGCACTCTCACCTCTGAGTCAGAAGGTTCAAGCCCCACATAGGGACTTTGACTCACAGTCCAGGCTGACACTCTAGTGCACTGCTGGGGGGATGCTACATTGATTTTTCATTTTTGATATGAGACATTAAACTGAGGCACCGTCTACCTGTTCAGGTGGACATTAAAGATCCCATGACACATTTCAAAAAAAGGGAATTTCTCTCTCTGGTGTCCTGGCCAACATTTCCCCCAGATAAATCAGTCACTCATTTCACGCAGGAAACAAAATGGAATGAATGGTGTGTATTTACCTGGCGATACATCTTCTTTCTGCCTTACAGTGTGGTCTTTTGTAAACTTGACCCGTTGATGGGCTTCGATACAGGTTTTACACAGCCACTCGAGGCATTCCACACAAAATCCCCTGGCCTCCGCATTGTCTTCACAGCTGGTGCAGACCTGGGAAAGATAAGAATCACAGGTTACTTTACTGACCCCGAGAGAAATTAACAGGTAGGGTTAATTTCTAACTTGCCAGACAGCACTCTCAATGATAAGCGGTGTGGTTTTAGCTGGTTAAACTCCAGCAGTTATTCCACCCCTCACTCTGGGTTTGAGTAGAGAACCAACTCATGAGCAGAGTTTGAGGCGAAGGAGCACAAACAAGATGGTTAACTGTGGCTACACAGGTGGTTAACTGGACAGAGCTATCAAAATTGCCTACAAAACACACTGTAATTGTCATTTGAGAGCACCTGCTTTTGAAGCACTTTAAGACATTTCAAGGTGAAAGTTGCAGTATCAAATGCAAGGATTCTTATTATGTTTTGAGGTGTTTATTTGGGGTGGATAAGTTGATGGGCACGTTTAATCTTGTTCTCACCTCAGTAGTTGGGAGTGGTTGCAATAAAAAAGACAAGGCGTTTCTCCCTTCCACAATTCATGTAAATGCAGATTTCAATGCATAGAATCTCTGCAGTGTTGGAACACTGATGGCTCCAGAAATCTGCGATTCTGCCTTGTCTTACATCAAATCATTGTCTAAGATGATACTCCAGCACAGTGCTGGCGGGTGCTGCATTGTCGGAGATGCGTTCTTCGGATGAGACAGTAAATGGAGATCCCGCCTTTGCCCTGTTAGTGGATCTTAAAGATCCCACGACACTATTCAAAAAAGAGAAGGAAGTTTCTCACAGTGTCATAGCTGACAGTTCCCAAGATAAAATTGCTCATAGTTGTTTGTGGGATATCAAAATTGTTTTCAAAATTGTCTCCCGCTTTCGTCTACAAATAAAGTCTCTCCACTTCATATAAAGTCCTGTGAAGCACTATGAGACGTCTCCATGAATCAAATGTAAGAATCATTTTATTATTATTGTTCATCTGAACTACTGCTGGTAAAGACATCCATTCACTTTGATCTGCCACAAAGCACTTGGGAAATATATATAATAAATAAGAGTTCTTTACATAAATTGTCAGACTCAGTTAGAAATATTGTGTCCAGTTATAGTCATCCCACTTTAGGAAGGATATCAAGGCGATAGATTTACTAGGATGATCCTGGGGATGAGTGATTTGGCCCATGAATGGAGATTGGAGGAACTGATAATTTTTCAGCTGGAACAAAGAAGGTTGAAGGTGACCTGATTGAGGTCTTCAAAATTGTGAGAGGTTTTGATAGTGTCCAATGAGAGAAATTATTTCCACTGGTCGGTGAGACAGTGACTAGAGGACTAACTATTTAAGATAGTTAGTAAAGGAGCGAATGGGGAAGTTAGGAGAATTTCTTTCACACAGAGTAGTTAGGATATGGAATGCTCTGCCAGGAGCAGTGGTTGACTCAGAATCCATATGAGCTTTCAGAAGCGAACTAGATAAACACATAAAAAGGAGTAACTTCAGGGTTATGGGGAAAGGGCAGGTAAATGGGACTGAAACGATTGCTCCTTAGAAGTACCGGCACAGACATAAATGGGCCGAATGGCCTTCTTCTGTGATATAAATTTGCATGGTTCTACGGTGGCTGATGAGTAGTAAACAAAGACATTACCAGCTTTGGCTGTGAAAGTCATCCTGCGGCAGATTTCAAGCAGCAGTGAATAGCTTATAGTAAACACGAGCAAATAAAATCTCCCTATTCTTCCAGATCCAAATCCATTCTCACAGTTAACACCTTCATGATCTTGCTCCCCCTACTTCTGTGACTCGTAACCTGCCTGCAACCTCCGCTCAGCGGGCTCCAGCCTGGTTCACATCACTCGCCCATCCGCCCCACCATTGGAGGGTGGACCTTCAGCTACTCTGCCCCCATCCTCTGGAAAAGGCGCTATACAAATGAAATTTTGTTGTTCTTGTTCTGGACCGAACACAGTTTCCCTTCCAAAGTCACCTCTTGGATAAATCTGTGGAGTGGGTATCATACGTATAATTGAACCACCTTTACGTTCGATATAGCACCATTGAAGTTGGGAGGCTGTCTCAAACACTTCAGAGGATTTACTCCCTTCAGAGGATTCACAAGATCACAAGTATGAAGAAAGCCCTTCAGCCCATCTGATCTTATTCCTCCAGAACACTCGCTTATCAGTCATACACAAGCAATAACAGTCATATGCACAGACTAATGCAAGTGTGCCCTCAAAGCTGGAGACGGAATGGCTTGTTTTTGTAATCATAAAACTTTCCAGTCAATGTGAAGCAATTGTCAATTAAATATATCCAATGGAACATGATGGTACAGAGTACTTGAAGGTAATTTGCAACAAATGGCCCAGTTTTATACAGCCGAATGGGTGAGCTCAAAAGGTAGAAGGTCGTACTCTGCACTTAAATGGGAAAGAGAGAGGTAAAGAGAGGGGTTAAAGCGGAGGAGAGGGGTCAGAGCGGAGGAGAGGGGTCAGAGCAGAGGAGAGGGGTCAGGGGAGGAGGAGAGGGGTCAGGGGAGGAGGAGAGGGGTCAGGGGAGGAGGAGAGGGGTCAGAGAGGAGAAGAGGGGTCAGAGAGGAGAAGAGGGGTCAGAGAGGAGAAGAGGGGTCAGAGAGGAGGAAAGGGGTCTTGCGAATGGTGCAGTGTACTGCAAAGTGTCAAGTTATCCAATAGTATCTTTGCTTCCTTCAAGGAAGAAGCTAAATATACTAGCTGTACCCATTGCAGCTAAACTTGCAACCAGTTTCATTTAATCAGCCTTCTCTCTTTCGTCTGGCATTTTTATTTGTCCACGAAAGGCTTAATTTTCACTTCTTAGGCATCTTTATCCCTTAAGATTAAGAAAATGTGCTACTGAACTTGTTAGCATCCCTTGTTCACATATTTGCACACATATCCTTTTGGGAGCACTCCTGTGGGAGGACTCCTGTTGGGAGGACTCAGTGGGAAGATTCCTGGTTGGGAGGTCTCCTATTAGAGTCTATAATCCGGAGCAAAATAAGTTTTCACTTAGAAAAATATGGGTTAATAAAGGACATCCAACACGGATTTATTAAAGGTAAATCGTGTCCAACAAACCTGATAAGAGTTTTTTGATGAAGTAACATAAAGGGTGGATGAAGGTAGTGTAGTTGACGTAGTTTATATGGATTTTCAAAAGGCATTTGATGAAGTCCACTTAAGAGACTTGCAACAAAATAGAAGCCTACGGTATTAGAGGGACAGAGGCAGCATGGATACAGAACTGACTGTGAGACAGAAAGCAGAGAGTAGTGGTGAACAGTTATTTTTCTGACTGGAGGGAAGTGTGCAGTGGTGTTCCCCAGGGCTTGGTATTAGGGCCACTGCTGTTTTTGATCTATATAAATGACTTGGACTTGGGTATAGGGAGTACAATTTCCAAGTTTGCAGATGATACTAAACTAGGAGAAGTAGTAAACTGTGAGGATAGTAGCAGACTGCAAGAGGACATAGACAGACTGGTAAATGGGCAGATAAAGTTTAATGTGGAGAAATGCAACGTGCTGCATTTTCGGAGGAAGAATGAGAAGAGGCAATATAAGCTGATGGTACAATCTTAAAGGAGGTGAAGGAACAGAGAGACCTGGAGATTCATATAAGTAAATCTTTGAAGGTGGCATTTGCTTAAAAATAACAGTCACAATTAATTATCTAGGTATATAAAGCTGTTAAAAAAAGCATACCGGCTATTAGGCTTTATAAATAGGGGTATAGAATACAAAAGTCAGGAAGTTATGAGCCTCCTTCCTACAGCCTGGTCACCACACTTTAGTAAGGATGTCAAGCAATTGGAGAGGGTGCAAAGGAGATTTACCAGGATGGTACCAGGAATGAGGGGCTTCAGTTATCAGGAGAGATTAGAGGTTATTCTCCTTGGAGCAGAAAAGGTTAAGAGGAGACTTAATAGAAGCTTTCAAAATTATGAAGGGATTCGATCGGGTGAACAAGGAGAAACTATTTCCACTGGCCGGTGGGTCGGTCACATGAGGACACCGATTTAAAATAGTTGTTAAAAGAAACAGAGGGTAAGTGAGGAGACATTTTTTCACACTAGTTGTTCGGATCTGGAATGCATTGCCTGAAAGGATGATTGAAGCCAATTCGATAACAACTTTTAAGAGAAGCAGATAATTATTTGGGGAGGACAAGTTTGCAGGGCTATGGGGAGTGGGTTGGTTGAATAGCTCTTTTCATAGAGCCAGCACAGACACGATGGGCCAAATGGCCTCCTTCTGTGCTGTATAGTTCTATGATTCTAGGTATATAATAATATTAATGAAAAAAATCCTTACATGCTGGTAGTGTGCCTTTCAAGTCAGAAGGGTATCTCAAAAAGTGATTGTACTGTACAGTTCCGTACCTGCTATCCATCAATGAGGGCTCAAAGCCACACTTGTTGGTGATATTGGCTTCCGCTGGTATTCAACGACAAACTAGTATCCTGAGCCAGATGGGTCTGCATCACTCCCAGCAATTACTGATGACAGCTCAGCCCAGCCTGGATTATCAGCAAGGCTTGGGAGAAGCAGACTAATATTATTATTATAAGGGATTATTTCCACTCAGCTCCTGTTATCCCTGCAAGCCATGCCCTAATGGGTTGGGTGGTTTTCGTGGACCAGCAGCGGGAACCTCGCCAGACAGTGCTATCAGTGGCATGTTATGAGGCTAGACAAACTTCAGCAATTGCCTCAACGCATATTCTGGGTTCACCAAGCCATGACTCTGTGCCTAATACTCTCAGAAATTAAGCCTCTCAAGGGAGAGTGTGCATCAGTCTATATACTCTTACACTCAGCTGACCAAAAAAATTCATTAATAAACGTTAGCTCTTTAGTCACGGCCTTTAAGTCCGGCTGCTGCAGTGATACAGCCACAAATTCTGTTGTTTTGATTACTTTGCCAATCCTATTACTGCTCTGAAAGTGCAACTAAGTGTCTTTTGTGCTTTGTCTCCTCCAGTGGTGTAGCATCGGTGACTGCAGTTATGCAAAAGTGGCACAATTCATTGCACTGTATAAATATGGCAGATGCTGTTTAAATCCCTCACACACAGATGGTCTTAAACTGGGATACAAAAAACACCTAACATTTATATAAAGGCACGTACTTCCCAAAAGGCAATTAAATCAAATTGCACTGAGATCAGACCTCTGCCACTGAAGCTTAACATTGGCACAGTGCGGTACAGGACAGGTGAGCTGCTTACAGTGTGCCACACAAACTGGCCAAAATCTACAATACACCAGGCTCCTGTTGGTGACTGAATGACCAGCCAGCGTGGCTCACTGTCAGCACTTGAAGGTGCAGACCTTATCACGTTGTTGAGACAGCTCAAAGAACTTCACAGGATTTACTGTAAAGGGGAGTGACTGTATTTTTGAGTGAAATGGGGCAGCCAGTTGAGCAATGTTCCACAAATACAAAGTGAGTGGCCACTTCTTTGTATTTTGGGGTATTGTTGGCCAGGATGTCGGGAGACACTCCCTCCTCTTTTTGAATAGTGCCATGAGATCTTTAAAATCCACCTAAACAGACAGGACCTCAGTTTAACGCTCATCCGAAGGATGATTTCTTCCCCCTTCAACTCCAGTTAAATCTTCAAGCCAAAGCGCTTACAGTTTGGGTGGTCCTACACCACTGTTAGGAAAGTTCTCAAAGTGCTTCACAGGATTTACTGCAAAGTGTAGTGACAGTGTAATTTTTAAGCAAACGCCCAAGTTTTTGGGGGGTTGTTGCCCAGGACATCATATGAAACTCCCTTTTCTCTTCCAATAATACCATGGGATCTTTAACATCCACCTGAACAGTCAGGACCTCAATTTAACGTCTCATTCGAAGAATATAATCTCCAGCATGCAGTTCTCCCCCAGCATTACATTAAAACGTTATCCTGGACTGTGTGAATTAAAAGTCTTGACATAGGGACCCCAATCTTCTAATTCAAAGCCAAGAGCACAACTAACTGAGCTAGGCTGAAACCAAATATATCCTTTGAATTGCCAGAGAGAAAGCTGCCAGCTCGACACTTCAGTTATAATAATATAATAAATCTTGCATTTGATAGAGCACTACATCACCTCATTGAAATGTCTCGAAGCGCTTCATAGGATTTTAATATGAGGTGCAATGACTGTATTAAAAACTGCCATCATCACGCCCACCCTGAAAAAACCCTCCCTTGATGCGTCGCAGCTATCAAGCTACCGGCCCATCTCCAACCTCCCCTTTCTCTCCAAGGTCTTGGAAAGAGTTGTCGCCTCCCAACTGCGCTCTTTCCTCTCCACCCATTCTCTTTTTGAACCCCTTCAGTCAGGTTTCCGTGCTGCTCATAGCACAGAAACTGCCCTGGTCAAGGTCACCAATGATATCCTGACTATCTGTGACCAGGGCTCCCTCTGTCTCCTCGTCCTCCTCGACCTATCGGCAGCATTCGATACGGTCGACCACGCTATCCTACTCCACCGCTTGTCCTCCCACCTCAACCTTCAAGGCACTGTCCTTGAATGGTTTAGCTCTTACCTTTCCCACCGTCTTCACTTCGTCTCAACGAATGGCTTCTCCTCCACCCCCCGTACTGTCTCATGTGGTGTCCCTCAGGGCTCTGTCCTCGGTCCCCTCCTCTTCACCCTCTATATGCTCCCCCTCGGTGACATCATCCGCAAACATGGGGTTAACTTCCACATGTATGCGGATGACACCCAACTCTACCTTTCCTCCTCTACTCTCAACTCCACGACCACCGATGTCCTGACAGCCTGCCTGTCCGACATCGAGTCCTGGACGAGAGACAACTTTCTTCAGCTCAACGTGCGAAAAACCGAGGCCCTCCTGATTGGCTCACGTCAGCGCCTCCGCACCTCAGGCGCTGACACCATCAGCATCCAAGGCTGCACTCTCCACCTCTCAAAGCCAGTCAGGAACCTCGGCGTTTTGTTCGACCCTGAGCTGTCCTTTCTCCCTCACATCCGCACCACAACTGGCACCGCCTTCCATCACCTCCGGAATATCGCCAGATTACGGCACTACCTCACCCCTCACGCTGCTGAAACCCTGGTTCACGCCTTTGTCACCTCAAGGCTGGACTATGGGAACTCTCTCCTCGCCGGCCTTCCCGGCACCTCCCTCCACAAGCTGCAGGTCATTCAGAACTCTGCAGCTCGTGTACTGTCCCGCACCAGGCTTCGGGACCACATCACTCCCACCCTCGCTCGCCTCCACTGGCTCCCCATCCCCCAGAGGATTGATTTCAAGATCCTCATCCTCACCTACAAGGCCATTCACGGCCTTGCTCCCTCCTACCTCTCCAACCTACTATCCCCCTACCTACCTGCCCGTACCCTCCGTTCCTCTGGCTCCGGTCTGCTCCACGTCCCCCGCCCCAACCGCCCTACTATCGGTGGTCGGGCCTTCAGCCTCTCAGCCCCGAGGCTCTGGAACTCCATCCCCCAGTGCCTTCGCCTTGCTTCCTCCCTTTCCTCCTTCAAGGCCGGTCTCAAAACCTTTCTCTTTGACCGTGCCTTCAGCTCCCCTCTCGACTCTCTTCCTCCTCCTCGCTCCCTCCCTTCCCTCCCCTCACCCTGACCATTTCCCCCTCCTCTCTCCCTCCCTTCCCTCCCCTCACCCTGACCATTTCCCCCCTGCTCGGGTCATGACCCAACTGTGCAGCGCCTTGGGACGTCCTCCTGACGTGAAAGGCGCTCTATAAATGGAATCTTGTTGTTGTTGTTGTTGTTGTATTTTTGTAGGTGAACCAGGCAGCCAGTTTGCACATGACGAGCCTCACAAGCAGTTATTTACTAAAGGCTCTTCGCTATCTATAAGTTCCCTCTTGGTAACGTCATGTGCAAATATAGTCCACTTTTATACCTATGAGGATGATACCCAACTCTATCTCTCTGCCTCCACCATTGACCCAGGATCACCGCTGCTCTGACCGATTGTCTGTCGGACATCAAGTCCTGTATGAGCTCAAACTTTCCTCAGTTAAATGTCTGCAGACAGGGGCCCTCCTGCTTGGCTCTCATCAGCACCTTCTCACCTCAAGCACTGACAGCATTGACCTACATAGATGCACACTCCACCTCGTGGAGCCAGTGCATCAAGCTTGCTTGACTCTCAACTGTCCTTCAGAATCCAAATCCATGCTCTCTGGAAAGCCACCCTGGAGACCCCCAGACTCGCTAGCTTCCTCCCCTCTTTCAAGGGCCATCTCAAGTGTAGGTCTTTGGCCATGCTTTCGGTCATCTTTCCCCTCTCCAATCCCCTTGACCCCACCTCCAGCTCAGGTGAATGTTCTTTGAGACATCCTCCTGACATGAAAGGTTCTATATCAGTATAAAGTGGATTGTATTTTGGGACATTGCTGTGGACCAAATGTCTGCTACTCTTGTTTATAAATACATTTATGCATTTTACAGAGTGTCCCTGTGAATGTTTATAGACACTTTATCAAAAGTAAGAATAATTATTGTGTAAGTAAGGGTCAGCTAGAGTAAATGAGTATAAATAACATGTCTAAGATACTGAAAGGTTTTGAGAGATTAGAGGGTGGGGAATATTTAAGATGCAACCTAATTCAGTTGGTACCACACTTACCTCTGAGTCAAGAGCTTGTGGGTTCCAGCCCATGGGACTTTGAACTCAAATCATGCAGGCTGAAACTACAATACAGTAATGGGGATAACTGCATTGTTGGAGGTATCGTCCTTCAGATGAGACATTAAACCGAGATCCTCACTGCTGTTCAGGTGGACGTTACAGACAGATATTTCGTCTTTTTCTATACTCGACTGGGAGGACACCTGTGGGAGGACTCCTATCAAAACTACACTAACCAAACGGGTTTACTGTGTGATCCGGCAGGTCCTCAAATTATTGCAAGGCTAAAAAACTGCCATTCATTTGTTGCGGAATATATTAGTATAGATATATCTCTTGGGACGTCCTCCCGACGTGAAAGGTGCTCTATAAATGCAATCTTGTTGTTGTTGTTGTTTAGAAGGGTGTATGCTTTCCTCTGTGGCTACGTTGTTGCAGAAACCATGCATACCTCATTTTGAGGCTTAATTAAAGTATTTTTTAAATATAGCTAATCAATGATAGGAGATCCCCGAACAAAGAATGCCCGTGACACTCCTGCATGAAAGACCTTTCCGATGAGGTATAAATCATGTCTCTACGTCAATCAGTTATTGCGTTATTAGCGGATATACAGACAGACACTTCACCGTTATTAGTATAGATTACTGGCGAAACCTTGGGCAAGTTTCCTTACTCCACACGCCTAATAATAATCCCTCCAAAAAAAAACAATAATTAAATTGGTCATTTTCAATCTACGACTGTTTGTGGGACATTGCTGTGCGCAATTGGCTGCCGCGTTCGCCCACAAATATACAGTCAATTCACTTTACAGTGTGTTCTGTGAAGCGCTTTGGGACGTCCTCCCGACGTGAAAAGCGCTATATCAAATGCAAGGATTATTATTATTATTATTATTATTACTAAACACTGATACAGTGTGACAAATGATGTTTTTCTGTGTCACTAATTTTAATCAGGAAAGATCGGCAATTTGGATAAGCGGATGGCTCTTGTATAAGGTTTTAATGAGTGAAATACCATTTGCCATAAATTCTGTAATACTGTGTGGAAGCACAGTAATTTACCCCTCTAGGTCACACTGCCGCACTCTGAATGCAACACAAATTTGAGGCCTGGTTCCTCTTACCTGATTGTATTTTTCATCGGTGCTGCTAGGCACTTCTGCAGTGTCCTTCACAAAGTAGTTGTCTATAATATCTGGCTGCCGGCATTCCTGGTGACAGACCGGGCAGCGGACCACACCGACTGAAAAAGACCAACATGGAAATCAGTAAATTCCTCTCATGGAGGATTGAAAATCCTCTCATGTCGTGGAAACAAAAGAATACTCCTCTCTTCATCTTCTTTGAACACTTTAAATCAGAGGCATATTAACTAAATCTAACATCTAACAGCACAATGCTGAATACTTCTCAGTTACTGGAGTGAAGAGCTCTCAACCCTAATGACTGCTCAGAACAGAGGGTTTAAAATGATGAGAGGCTATTGTAAAGATAAGATAATTGGGTTAAAAGGAAACACTGATGTTGAAATGAGGAGATTCTGAGGTTTGAGGAGAGGTGACACTGAGGTTGAAGAGAGGGAATTGACATGAATTTCCGATAGATTCCAACACCTCATCTGTGAAGTACCATCTCCCCATCAGTAGTTTCTTGTTACCACGATAAGGATTGAAAGGATTGATAAGGAGCAAACTGAGAAAGGCAGCTCATTGTAGCTATGGTGCAATGTGCAATTTTGTTTGTAGTTTCTGATGGTTTCAACCAGTTGGTTCCAATTCCAATGAGAGGATGTGCCATCTTAGATTTACTACTCGTCAACTCTCCACAACCTAAGAGTCCTGAACTAAGCCACCCACATCTGGTCACTATCCAGGCAGCCTTTTGTTGGCCCACACAAACTAATCTGAAGCAATGGGGTTTGGCTCCTGTCCAGACCAACTGACAATCACACACAAACGTCCCTTTGTCTGACTGGCATCAGCTAACCAAACCGGCAAAGCCTAATTCTGGACTCTGACCAAGCTGGTGGTGTTCTGTGCTCTTGAATCCCAACAGAAATTGTTTAATCTAAGAGTTGGCCTTGCAACTGTTTAGATACCACCAAGAGACATGGATCCCTACATAAGTACAATGAAGACTACCTTATAAAATATAAAACGTCAGAAGGTTCAAAATCTCTACAAAATCCAAAGACGTGAACAATTGAGGGCAAAACAATCGGAACATTTCCTCTAACTCTTTGGTTCCAGTTGGCAAGCCATGCTGGTTCTCAGCTTTCCAAAAAGCTTGCACTTTCTCCCTGCTTCAACAACAACAAGATTACATTTGTACAGCGCCTTTCACATCGAGAGGACGTCCCAAGGCATGAGACAGTGTACAGCATTTCAGACCCGAGCTGGGGTCGGGGATGGGGGAGACGTGAGGGGAAGAGAAGGGGGGTGGCCCATGGCATTGTCAAAGAGGAGGGTCTTGAGGCGGGACTTGAAGGAGGCTAAGAAGGGGGCGAGGCAGAGTGATTGGGGGATGGAATTCCAGAAGTTGGGGACAGAGTGGCTGAAGGCTCTCCCGCCAATAATAATAATAATAATCCTTGCATTTGATTTCGCGCTTTTCACACCTACTAGACATCCCAAAGCGCTTCACAGAATATACTGTAAAGTGAATTGACTGTATATTTGTGGGTGAACGCGGCAGCCAATTGCGCACAGCAATGTCTCACAAACAGTCGTGGATTGAAAATGACCAATTTATTATTGCTTCTTTTGTTTTTTTTAGAGGATTATTAGGCGTGTGGAGTAAGGAAACTTTGCCAAGGTTTCGCCCTGCCTGGAATTGAACTCAGGTCTCTCACTTGCAAAGCGAGTGCTCTAACCACTGAGCTACAGGACTCCACATGATGGGGCAGGTGGGTCGGGGGACGTGGAGCAGGCCGGAGCTGGCTGAGCGGAAAGAGCTGGCGGGTTGGTAGGGGTTAGGAGGTCGCAGAGGTAGGGTGGGGTGAGGCCATGGAGGGCTTTGTAGGTGAGAACCAGGATCTTGAACTGAATCCTCTGAAGGATAGGGAGTCAATGGAGTCGGGCGAGAATATGGGAGATGGGGTCACAGAGTTTGGTAGGGGAGAGGACACGGGCTGCAGAGTTCTGGATTATCTGCAGCCTGTGGAGGGAGGAGTATCAGCGGCCTGAGGGGTGAGGCAGTGGCAGAGTCGGGCGATGTTACGGAGGTGAGGGAAGGCAGAGCAGGTCATGACTTGGATGTGGGGAAGAAGACAGCTGAGAGTCGAACAAGATACCTAGGTTCCTGACTGGTTTGGTGAGTTGAAATGTGCAACCATTGAGGTTAATGCTGCCAAAGCCTGAGGTGCTGAGGCGCTGGTGCGAACCAATCAGGAGGGCCTCAGTTTTGCTCACATTCAACTGTAGGAAATTTGCCCTCATCCAGGACTTGATGTCTGACAGGCAGTCTGTCAGGACAGCATTGGTCCTGCAGTTGAGGGTGGAGGCAGAAAGATAGAGTTGGGTGTCATCCACGTACATATGGAAGTTGACCCCATGACTGCAGATGATGTCACCAAGGAAGGTAGATATTAAAGAGGAGAGGGTCAAGGACAGAGCCCTGGGGGACACCAGACATGACAGTGCGAGGGCTGGAGGAAAAACCGTTAGAGCAACAAAGTGGAGACAGTGAGAGAGAGGAATCGAACCAGGCAAGGGCAGGTCCGCGAGGATTAAGTAAAGAGGAAAGGCAGTGTATGAGGATAGAGTGGTCGACAGTGTCAAAGACGGCAGAGAGGTCGAGGAGGACAAGGAGGCAGAGGGAGCCCTGATCACAGATGTTCAGAATGTCATTACTGACTTTGACCAGGGCTGTTTCCATGCTGTGGGTAGCGCGGAAGCCGGATTGGAGGGGTTTAAAGAGGGAATAGGGAGAAAGAAAGGAGCGGAGCTGGGACGCGACAACTCGTTCCAGGACCTTAAGAGAGGAATGGGAGGTTAGAGATGGGGTGGTAGCTGGAGAGGTGGGATGGATCCAGGGAAGGTTTTTTCAAGATAGGAGTGATGACGGCTGTTTTTAGAGGGGTGGGAACTGAACTGGTGGACAAGGAGAGGTTGATGACATCGGACAGGAGAGGGGCCAGAAGTTGGAGCTGGGAGATGAGGAGAGAGGTGGGGATGGGATCGAGGGAGCATGTGGTGGGTTTGAGTTTGCGGACAGTCGTGGTGAGGGAGGAGGGATAGATAGGGTCAAAAGAATATAGAGCGGGATGGGTCATGAGATAGAGATGATGTGGCGGTGGCTATGGACGGGGCTGAGGTGGCTGAACGTATCCCCTCTATTTTGGATTCGAGGAAGTCCAGCAGCTGCTCACAGTTGGAGTTTGAGGGGAGGTTGGGCGAGGCATGGGAGGGTAGAAGAGGAGACGGTTTGTGGTGGAAAAGAGAAGCCTGGGGTTGTCCTTTGCCTCAAAGATTACTTTGGAGTAGAAGGAGGATTTAGCAAAGGCAAGAGCGCAGAGGTAGGTCTTGGTGGAGACTTTGTGGAGTCCTGTAGCTCAGTGGTTAGAGCACTCGCTTTGCAAGTGAGAGACCTGAGTACAATTCCAGGCAGAGGGCGAAACCTTGGGCAAGTTTCCTTACTCCACACAGAGCCTAATAATAATCCCTCCAAAACCAAAACCAATAATAAATTGGTCATTTTCAATCTACGACTGTTTGTGGGACATTGCTGTGCGCAATTGGCTGCCGCGTTCGCCCACAAATATACAGTCAATTCACTTTACATTGTGTTCTGTGAAGCGCTTTGGGACGTCCTCCCGACGTGAAAGCGCTATATCAAATGCAAGGATTATTATTATTATTATTGGTGTGGTGAAGCCAAATCTGCTGATGGATTGTTAGTTTGGATTTGGTCCAGGCGTGTTCGGCAGCTCGCACTTGTGCCTTGAGGGAACGGAGATGGCTGGTGCACCAGGGGGATTTATGGGAGTATAAGGCAGTTTGTGAGGTGAGGGGGGCCAGGGAGTTCAGAATGGAGGAGAGGGAATTGTGGAGAAAGGAGAGTGAGCAGTGGAGATCGGTCAGTGAGGGCCAGAGTTGAACGAGGTTCAGATGACTCCAGGGCAGGAAGAGGGATTTTTTTTCCCACGTATGGTATGTAATGGTGGAGGGTTGAGAAAGGGGGAGGGGTATGGAGGTATTGAGGAAGATGAAGTCATGGTCCGAGATAACTTTCTCCAGCTCAACGTGCGCAAAACTGAGGCCCTCCTGATTGGCTCAGGTCAGCGCCTCCGCACCTCAGGCGCTGACAGCATCAGCGTCCAAGGCTGCACTCTCCACCTCTCAAAGCCGGTCAGGAACCTCGGGGTTCTGTTCGACCCTGAGGTGTCCTTTCTCCCTCATATCCGCACCACAACTGGCACCGCCTTCCATCACCTCCGGAATGTCGCCAGACTACAGCACTACCTCACTCCTCACGCTGCCGAAACTCTGGTCTACGCCTTTATCACCTCAAGGCTGGACTATGGGAACTCTCTCCTCGCCGGCCTTCCCGGCACCTCCCTCCACAAGCTGCAGGTCATTCAGAACTCTGCAGCTCGTGTACTGTCCCGCACCAGGCTTTGCGACCACATCACTCCCACCCTCGCTCGCCTCCACTGGCTCCCCATCCCCAGAGGATCGAATTCAAGATCCTCATCCTCACCTACAAGGCCATTCACGGCCTTGCTCCCTCCTACCTCTCCGACCTACTATCCCCCTACCTACCTGCCCGTACCCTCCGTTCCTCTGGCTCTGGTCTGCTCCACACCCCCCGCCCCAACCTCCCTACCATCGGTGGCCGGGCCTTCAGCCTCTCAGCCCCGAGGCTTTGGAACTCCATCCCCCAGTGCCTCCGCCGGCTCCTCCCTTTCCTCCTTCAAGGCCGGTCTCAAGACCTTTCTCTTTGACCGTACCTTCAGCTCCCTCTCGACTCTCTACCCCCTCCTCGCTCCCTCCCTTCCCTCCCCTCACCCTGACCATTTCCCCCAATGCTCGGGTCCTGACCCAACTGTCCAGCGCCTTGGGACGTCCTCCCAACGTGAAAGGCGCTCAATAAATGGAATCTTTTTGTCAGTTTTATCTGGTTTTACATTTCCAACTGCCATTCCCTCCCTGGCTTCATCTGTTTTAAGAGGCCCCTGATTTGCTGGTGCCCGATCTATCTAAGTACTGGCCACCAAACACCACACCCTCTACAGTTGTCCAC